CGCATAGTGGACATCCTGATGAGGTCCGAAGTGCATGGTGGTGCCAATTGACGGAGACCTTGACCCACCACGCAGCGGATGTTGAGCTTTATGTCTTAATTGATGCAAACGCCACACCAGGCCATACAGATGCAATACATGTTGGACCTCAAGGCACTTTGCCATCCAAATCCACACAGCTCCTCCGTGACTTCCTTGTAACATGGAATCTGGGACTGCCTGGCACGTTCTCCTGTCATCAAGGGCCGCAAACCACATGGACTTCCCCTGATGGCCTGACGCAACATTGCATCGACCACGTGTGTGTCCCCACGAGCAGACTCAGTGATTGCATGTTCTCTAGAGTGATTGATGAGTTTGATCTTGGCAATAGCCATTGGGATCACGCTGTCACCGGGACGGAACTCTCATGGAAGGCAATGCAACAGATTCCCCTCCAGCGCAGCAGAAGACAGAGTGTCAACCGCGATGCTATTTGTGGCACCACACTGCAGTCTGGCCTCAGCAAACATGTTGTTCCGCCATGGTCTCAGGATGTGCAATCCCATGTTGACATGCATAATCAGCATCTCCTTGCTTGTCTCCAACAGACTTGTCCACAGGCCATACATCAGGCTAAGAAGAGCTTCATCACGGCTGATATATGGGATCTCCGTGCCCAGAAACTCCAATGTCGACGCATTGGCAAGGACATTTCCGGTCGAGTCCGAGCCGAGTTGTTGCGTGCTGCGTGGGTTGGGTGGAAATCTCATGTCAAGGGCCAAGATTGTGCTGGATATGCAGATATATATCACCGATATGATGTGGCTCTCTCCTGCTGGAAGCTCTATCATGGGGTGCAGTTGCATGTTCTTGCAAGGAAGTTGAAGAAGAGACTGAAAACTGCGCGCTGCACAGCTATTCAGCGTGACCTCCATGATTTGCCTGAGGATGTGTCAGCCATGGACGTCTTGCAGCTCATCAAGAAACATATTGGATCCACAAACCTCAAAAGTCTTAAGAAGCCGACGTTGCCGATGCTCCTTAATGCACAAGGTGAGGCCTGCACAAGCCCGGATCAACTCCAAAATGAGTGGATCGAGTTTTTCGGACAGATGGAAGGAGGTGTCCGGATGCCCTGGTCAGACCTGATCTCTACCTGGCAGTCCAATCTAAAAGCGTTTCAGCAACAACAAGTGACCCTGGGCCCTGATGACTTGCCTAGCTTGACGGATTTGGAAATTGCATTCAGGAGAGTGAAGAAAGGGAAGGCAATGGGACAAGATTCCATACCGCCAGAACTTTGCAAGGCCTGTCCCACCATCCTGGCCAAACAATACTATAGTGTCCTCATGAAGCTAGTAGTCCATGGTCAAGAGTCCTTGTGCCACAAGGGCGGCATTTTAGTGCCAGCCTTCAAAGGGAAGGGTTCATCATTGGACCCGACCTCTTACCGATCACTATTGATCAGCTCGCACATGGGCAAAGTTCTCCATCGGGCTGTCCGACAGCATCAAGCGCAGCTCTACGAAACGTTCCTGTGTGCACAACAGCTAGGAGGTCGTAGGAAAGTGCCCGTCACGTTAGGACTTCATGAAGCAAGAGCATACCTGAGGAGTCATCAGAGACAAGGTATGTCCGTTGCCCTGCTCATGGTAGACCTTACAGAAGCATTTTATCGAGTTCTGCGCCCACTAGCTGTTGGAGGCCAGTATACAGATCAGCAACTTGCACAAATCGTTCAGAAGCTTGGCATGCCACCTGAGACGCTGCATGATTTACACGAGCATCTCAAGCAGCCCTGTGCAATTGCCCAAGCACAGTTGCCATCACACATGCAGAGGGTCTTGCGATCCCTACATACAGACACGTATTTTCAAGTTCAAGGACAAGAAGACTGTTGCCACACCTCTGTTGGCTCCAGGCCTGGAGACTGTTTTGCTGATGTAATCTTCAGTTACCTTTTTGCTAGGGTTATGAAATGCTTCCAGCAACAGATGAGTCATGCAGGCCTTCAAGAGTTCATCACAGATGTGAAGAGGTTTGAACCTTTTGATGTTTCCGAGCCAGTTGGACGTCAAATTCCCTACACAGGCCCAGTCTGGATGGATGACCTCTGTGTCGGCATTAAGGCCAACTCACCTGGAGAACTCATCACCAAAGCAGGAATTACGACCTCACTGCTGTTGGAGACTTTGACCGGTTTCGGAATGACCCCGAATTTGAAAAAGGGGAAGACTGAAATCCTCTTCTCGTTGCGGGGACGAGGAGTGCGCAAAGCCAAGCAACAGTTATTTGGACCCAATTCAGCTGGACATCTCCCCGTGATGAGTGAAGCGGGCACGCATTTTGTCTCTGTTGTTGGCCAATACCAGCATTTAGGCGGATTGCTCCATCACGGTGGAGATCATCGGCAGGAGATGAAGCGGCGCATGGCCATTGCCCACACTGCTTTCAACACTCACCGAAAGGTGATTTATCAAAACTCAGCCATCGCGATCAGCAAGAGAGTCCAGCTCTTCAACACCCTCATCCTCAGTAAGCTTATCTACGGATGTGAATCCTGGGTCCTCCAGGACATGAAATCGAAAGAATTTCTCCATTCTGCTGTTATGAGATTATATAGAAGGCTTCTTAGTTGCAAACCTGATGATAAGCATTCAGATGACTGGATACTCAAGACGTTGCAATTGCCGTCTCCCACAGAGTTATTGAGACAGGCAAGATTGCGATATCTTGGTACGCTCCATGCATGCTCAGACGTGGTTTCCTGGGACCTTCTCAATCGTGATGCTGAGTGGTGCGCACTGATCAGAGATGACCTCATGTGGATGTGGCAGCAATTAGAACGCAGTTCCAGTTTGGTGGCGCCGGACCAGCACTTTGATTCCTGGCGGTATCTCTGGCTGTATCACAAATCCTACTGGAAAGGTCTCATCAAGCGAGCTGTCCAGCATTCCATCCTACAGAGACACAATGAGTGGGTGGTACAACAAGGCCATCAGTGTATTCTGGATTGTCTTTATGACCATGAGCATATCTTACCTGCTCCGGATGGTCATCGACCAGATGCTGGACCTGAGACAACGAAAAAAATTGGCTGTATGCAGTGCCAACAAGCTTTCAAATCCAAAGGAGGGGAAGGGGCGCACATGTTCAAGAAGCATGGAGCTCTTTCTGATCTCCGATATCTTTTTGATCACACCAGATGTGAAGTTTGCATGAAGGAATATTACACGTTTGGTAAACTCCACAACCATTTACGTTATTCCGAGCGTTGCAGACGCAGCCTTCAAAGTCAGCCACATAGATGTGTTCCGCAGCAAGGGCATGAATCCCAACTCAATCGCCAGATGGACCACAATCATGATGGCTTACTCCCACCTATGACGAGCATGGGGCCTAGTCTACCTCCTCCCAGACTCCGTGCAGTTGAAACTTTTGATGTAGAGTTCTACAGTGAATGTACAGAGATTTTGATTTCAGAAATTTCATTGGCAGACAAATTTCAGCAGATCCGTGCGAGAGCAGGTACCAAGCCGCTCTCATGGTCTCAATTTGTGCTTACAATGGACTGTTTGCAGATGAATGCCGGTGCGCAAGACCTGGACGCCTTTGGCTTGACTCAGACTGCCTTTGATGCCAGCATTCGACAGTTGGTGGATCCCACAACATGGCCATGGTTCCAAGAGCGGGACACTGCTGTCAAGCCTGAGCGTTCGGTGGCTGATCTGGAATGGCAGTGTGACAATGCCGTCATAGGCCCAGCAGCGGCCACACAACCATCGCCGCGCAGTTTTGGTGTCCATCGTTTTATCCTGCATGCGTTTTCAGGTAGGCGTCGTGAAGGAGACTTTCAATTCTTCCTTGACGCCATCACTACATCGCATCCTGGCATTGTCATTCACACCTTGTCAGTTGACATCATCTTGGACAGGAAATGGGGTGATGTCAGTGATGAGACAGTTCAACAATTTTGGATCTCAGCAGCTAGACGAGGTTGGGTTGTTGCCTATTTAGGTGGACCTCCATGTGAGACATGGAGCAGAGCCCGTGAGCAGTTGCTGCGCGAAGACGCTAGGTATGGTCCCAGGGTTCTTCGCTCTGCCATGCAACCTTGGGGATTTTCCAGTTTAGCTTTGCGTGAAATCCGCCAAATCTTGGTTGGCAATCAACTCATGTTCTTCAGTCTGATCATGATGACTGTCTTATATGATGTGGGAGGTTGTGGAGCACTGGAACATCCAGCAAGACCTCCGAAATCGACGTCGGCCTCGATTTGGAATACATCAATCCTTCAACTGTTGCTGCAGTTGCCAGGTTTCAGACTTTGGGAGTTTGCACAAGGTCTCCTTGGAGCTGTCTCAGCAAAGCCTACGATGATTCTGGCATTGAATCTTCCCACATTGGGATTGCAGATTAGACAGTGGAGGGTTGTAGATGAGCTCCCCAAGACGGTGAGCATTGGCAGGGGAACAGACGGGAAGTTTAACACTATGGTGTTAAAAGAGTACCCCCCCAGCCTTTGTGGCGCGCTAGCCACGTCTTTTTGGCACACACTGCGCGATCTGCCAGTGAATGCCACTGTAGAGATCCCCGGCACCTTTTTCCAAACCTGCTCATCTATGGATGTACAGACGTATAGTGATGAGCTGGGTCCGGACTATGCCGGTGGTGCTGTTCGCAGCTGACTGGAATTTGCTGCTTGGTCGCGGCGTGAGCCACTGCACACCATGAGCAAAATATATGTCTCGCATATTGACTATTGACTATTGTTATCTTATGCGTGTTTATTTTGTATTGTATATGAATGTAATTATATGATATATATATATATGGGTTACGATGGAATATCTGAATATCTGTGTCTCATATATTCTCATATTATGTGTTTGTTATGTGATGTGATTTAATGCAATCTTATTCACTGTAAGATCATGTACTCGCATGCGAATAAGCACCACCGAGACTAAAAAACAAGCTGTCACCTTCCAACCGTCATCTTCGTCTCCAGGAATTGGTTATGGGAGCAGCGGCACCAGCCGTTGCCAACACAGGGCGACTCAGATGTGCCAAGAAGGGGATCCAACAACTGTTCCATCTATAGAGCCATATAGAGCCATGTTAAATGGATAAAAATGGTTCGTACCCTCTGGTTATGACTAACATAGCCATGGTATAGATGGCCCATAGAAATAGATGGTTTATTAAAAATGGGTCGAATTTTCATCTCGAACTGTTAGTCATAACCAGAGGGTAAATATTGAGAAACCCGTTTAGAACCATGCCACTCGCATTAAATGGATGTTTTATTTACTAACCATATATCGTAAATAAAACAGAAAAAACGCCATAAATGGTTAGTAAATAAAGCCATATATGCTGTTATATTCACTAACCATATATGCTGTTATACTATACCATATTTCTGGTAATTTACTAACCATATATCGTAAATATTGATGGTTAATGGTTATCAATTTACTAACCATTAATCATTCACTAACCATTTACTAACCATTCACCAGAAAAAGAGCCATAGCCATGGCTCTCCGCATCTGAGGCCATCCGCCTTAGATCTGTCGCAGCGCTACCAGCCCTGTGACCCATATCTCCACCAGGCGGAGCTTTTTTTCGGCGCCAGGTGTAACGGGTCACCAGGACAGTCACTGGGATTTATAGGGCAGTAGGGATCTAGAAATATCTAGAATTCATGGGGGTTATAAATGTTTATAAACCAATTTTAATGGAAATTTAAGTGAAGTTTTCGACTTTCGACCTTGTTCAAATCAGTTCTCAAGTCTTTTGCACTGCAGTCAATGCAATTTGGCTCAGGGGTGCTTTGCTTCCTCTCCTTCCAGCATCAACTTAGCACGAAGAGATGGAGCGCCTTTGGTGATGCTCTTCATCGGTCACTTGGCCACGTTTGCCTATGCCTACTGGATGAGACTCCGAATTCGTCCTCTCCATTGCAATCCATTGCAATCCATTTCCCATGTTTGCCTTCGATTTTTTTCCTATGCGAACTTGTTTTGTTTCTATGCAAGTCGCTGCGTTCTGCTAGAGCTTACATGTTTCACACATGGCAGAGCTAGCTTCGACCGTTGCCCTTTGGAGGTGAACATGCACCCTTTGCCAACACAGCAGCTGCCTGAGAGCATTTTCTGCAGGGTGTATCCTGCTCCCACGGGCACCCGGGTTTTGAAGTGAAGCTGTTCCTTGTCGCCTGCTGTTGGGTCATAGTGAATCAGTGCCAACTGAAGAGTTACGAGGATTCAGGGAAACTCCGCGGTTTCAATGCCAAAACCACTATCAGTCTTAGCAGAATGCCCAAGAGCAGATTGGGAAGGAACTGGCAAAGCAAATAGCATAGAGATTGTATGATTTGCAGCTGCTGCTTCCAGATGTAAGGTCTGGCAATGCATCCAATCCGCTGCGGTTGCCGGGGAAACCCAGTAGTCCGGCGGAAAGCGGCTATTAGCGCCTTCACAACTTCTATCAACACTGAAAAAGACCAAGTAAATTAAGCGAATGGTGTGACAAGAAACGAAAGAAACAGCTGCAGTTACAACAAGAACCCATAGGATCCATGTATGCTATATATGGTAACATTTACCATCAATATACCCCCAATGTTAGCATATATACCATACACGGATCCTATGGGGAATGGTTATCCATGGAGGTTCCTACAATGGGAAGGACTGCCATGGATAACCCACAAAGCATCAAGGCCTTGAGCATCTCCATCCGTCCCATCTTTGCTGGTGCCTTCTATGGCTGCAAAGGAGCCCACTGGCTCACCCTACAAGAAAAGGTGATTGCTTAATATTGTCTCTATATTAAATTATATATATATATTATGTAAAATTATATATATAACTTTACCTATATTACGTTTATATTTGGAAAGAGCATCCCAGAAATGGTGTCTGTCCGATTAACAGGAACTATACTCATTGTAATTTGTGATGATATAATTCTCATCCAATGTGCACAGATCTGTGAGGACTGCCCAGCGGCTGCAAAGGCGACGCCACCAAGGATTGGTTTCGTTCCTGGATGACCAGGCGATGGCGATTTTTTCGTTGCCATCAGCAGAAATCGTTGTTGCCGTGCCAGGTGGTCATTGGACGGAGATCAAGCACTTCAGGCAGGTTGAAACAGGAAGTCAAATCAGTTTAAATTGATCATGGTATCTTGGATCATGGTACCCAATTATGTTATGTGGAAAACCGATGAAAACAGCCCCTGCATCTTCGTTTACTCAGCTCTTTTTGCTGAACCTTGATGAAGCTTTTTGCGGAATTTCTGATCGATGGCAGGTTGAAGATATGAATACAGAGGCTATGTCGCTGATCAAGGCCATTCAAGCAAATCCTGATCCAGATGCCACCTGGCCAGACACTGTTGATGACTGTTGCATCATGTTGCATCGTTGTGGCCTTACGGCATGGTTACAGATATGGGACATGATTGGGAGATGCGGTTTACGTGGCATGGCAGTTGCCCTGTGTCAAGCTGTGCCAAGGTGTCGCGGCCAGACTTTCTGCTCTGCGGAGACACGGCGCTGTTCTGCTACTTGGCCAGGCGCAGCTCTGCCTTTCGAGAGACACCAGCGCACGGCGGCCCAGAGCTGCCCAGAGCTGCCAAGTTGGTTGACAGTTGCCATTCTTCATCGTTTCTTGAGTCACTGAGGTTACATATGTATGGAATGGTCTTGCTACAGTATGTCCCCCTTTCTTGGCGTTCCAAGATGTTGCAGGATAGGTCGGCTTCGGATTGCCCAACCTGTCCTGTCCACATCTGTCCACCTGATCTGTCCAACTGTTTCTTGTGGCTACGTCTTGCAGCGCCAGGACTTCGGGCAGAGTTGGAAAGAGCAAGGCATTCATGAGCCAGCAGGTGTCCAGATCGAGGCGGCTGGCATTTGTTTCAATCAATGAAGTTCTTATTCTTGGATGATCTTTGAAGTTTGAGGATGTTTGAGGATTCTTCACTGGAAAACTGATGAAAACTGATGAAAACTGTTCACTTTTTCCTGGGATCGCAGGTCTTGGGCCTTCAACTTCAGTGGCAGAGCCTCGGCAGCTGTGCCATGAATTTCACCGTTCAACATGGTGATTTAATGGGAGATTTATTGAGGATATTATGAGATATATGTGGGATATACACATATATACATATGTCTATATATATATGTATATGTATATATATATATATATGTATATATATATATATATATGTATGTATATATATAGGTATATGTATATGTATATGTATATATATATGTATGTATATATATAGGTATATGTATATGTATATATATATGTATGTATATATATATATGTATGTATATATATATAGGTATATGTATATGTATATGTATATATATATATATGTATATATATAGGTATATGTATATGTATATATATATATGTATGTATATATATAGGTATATGTATATGTATATGTATATATATATATATATATGTATGTATATATATAGGTATATGTATATGTATATGTATATATATATGTATGTATATATATATATAGGTATATGTATAATATATATATATGTATATATATATATATTATGATTGATAACCATCTGTGACCATATACTATGATTCTTCCAATGTATTGCATATGTTCATTCTGATGTCCCATGGGATATCATGGGATGGGAGTGCTTGAAGCTACTTGGAGCCTGAAACTTGAGCGGCCAGGATGGGCATTGCCATTCCATTCGTGCCGTCCTCTGGCACTTCGGATACAGCCGGGGTGCTCTATGAACCGTCAGGCTTGGTGGTGGAAAGAGAATCAGATCATACATGTTCATGTATAGAAATGTCAAGATCAGTCCATCAGCGAAGCAAAGGTTTCAAGAGAACTTGAAGAACTCTCAGGCGACATTCGACGGCTCCTGGTGCTCAAGAGTGGCTTCTTCGCATTGGCTCCAGGTCGAGTCTTTGATGTAGTGACCCAAGCTGCACTTAGTGTCGTCATGGAGGTGTGTCTGCCATGGGCAGTGCAGCAGGCTGGTTCAGTTTTTCCGACATGTTTTTGATAATAACAAAAATGTCAGGCCTCACAAATGATATCAAATCAGCTTCCCTTTCCATCACTATGAAGACGATTTTGCAAAGTTTCCACATGTTTCCACGTAGAAGTTTCTCAAGTTCTGGTCTTTCCAATGTCAGGTCTTGCGGCGCTTGGGGCGTGATACTGCGATTCAATGGCACCATTGGGGATCCGAGAACAAGATCGATCCCAAAGCCACCAGTTTTTTGAACTTTGCAACGATGGCATCTTATTCGTGCATCTTGGCATATCTTGGTGAAGAAACTGATTTTTTCATGGGATGCAGCTGGTTCACTGGATTTTTTTTGGGCTTGATGTGTCAAAGGGTGTTACCTTTCAGTAGTTCAATTTGATTGTTTCCAATTCAAGATCTCGAAGCAGCGCATTTGGTGTGGTTGAATGCCTAGGTGCTCTCTATGTAGCGCCGGAGTTTTCCCAGTTGCTCCTTCGAGAATCTTGGTCGGTTTTGACTCGAGGTTGTCAGGCTGATACCAGGATGCCAGATCAGTTCACAGTTCTCTTTGATTCCTTAACGTACAATACCTACAGAACAATTGGTGGAGCAATACAATGCCCATTTTTAACCCAAGGACGTCTACGGCATTGGCTTACCAATCCTGGCCCCGGAAATCACGTGGCATCAACGTTTGCTGCAACATATGTTTGCATCCTGGGGGCAGCTGCATAATGAGCACGACGTCGGCAGAATGTCAAGGCAATTTGTGGTCCATGTTTTGCTGCGTCCATACCTGTGCAGCTGCATTAGTGGCAGTGTAGGACATGTCCACTGTCTTGTGAAGGGCTGCAACTGCTGTAGTGGCACCTTGTGCCAACTATAGAATTGTTCCTGGTGCTGACAGAGAGCCATTGAAAACGCACGTGCGCTTACTATTTGAGTACACCTGTGATTGTTGGCATGCATTGTTCATCATTTTTCCCAACAAACAGAGGTATCGTGTGTCGAGATTTTTTCCACTGTTTCAGCCGCAGGCCTTCTGGGCGTCAGGAGCGGGAGGATCTGCCTGAGAGAACCTCACGTTTCTGATCAAAACAGCTAGACAGATATCTTCCTTTTTTTTGTTGTTTTTTTCAGCTTTTAGTGCAGATAGTGCAGGAGGAAGTCTTCATGGCAGCGCAACACTGGCAATTTCCGCCCTTTTACAATCCTTCGGAGCAGCTCAGCTGAAATTTCCATCCCAGGGCCTGAGAAAAAACATGTCTCGATTCGAGGCATCCACCGGAGCATCTCAAGTTTTGGCTGCCTTTGGCAGAGGCGCAGGATGGATCATGATGGGTCATGGTATCCCATGGTGATGCAGGCTTCAACACTTGGAGTGTCAATTCTCACTGAGGTTTGGAATGATTTAGATTGGTGGCTCAAAAAGAGACATGTGAGTATTAAGTCCCAGTCCCATTCCCAAGACTTGCTTCTCCAACCATGTCAATGGTGGCATTTCCTGTCAGATCTGTCAGGTGCATCGATTTCCTCATATCGTTTACTTCACTTCTCTGACGGAGATGATCCAGTTGGTCCAAAGCCTCGACCTCAACGCTGTGAGCCTGCGAATGCAGGCCATTTTTTGCTGGACCATGTCTGACACGGACTGGAAAAGGCTCCAGAAAGGGATGGCCACACGTAAAGAAAAAGAATGCTAAGCTGTTCACGAACTTTGCCTTCTTTCATTTGTTTAGCTGCCAGCTAATTACCGCTAATTTCTTGTATTCCAATGCAATTGCCGTCGTTGCTCTTATTTTTCTTGTGTGTGACTTCTTGGCAACTTGGTGCTATTAGCAAATGATAGAGTCGAAACATGAGAATGTAAAAAAGCTGAGAAAAGCCTTTCACAGAAGAAAGTGATAAACTGTTAGGACTTCCCCATGCAAAACTGTGGCAGTTCTGTTGTTCTTGTGATCTCGTGGACTCTGACTTTGTCAGGCGCAGTCGCGGATCATCGCAGCCAACGTGCGGAGGTTCTATCGCAATGCGCTGCAAGAGCTGGGCCGCCTGGGCCTTCTGAGCGAAAAGCGGTGAGGATTGCAGATGGGAAAACTATGGAAGACGACGCATGAAGACTCCTGGAGGCATGGATATCATGGATTTTGGCCCAGAGTTTGACAAAGACCTTCGCATTGCTTTTCGCATTGTTTGATGGTCCTGGTTTTATCGCATTACTTGCATCATCTTGCATCCACTTCTTCGAACGCCTGCGCCCTTCATGGAGAACAAGCAGAACGATTTGCAGTTGGAATACATGACAAGTGACTCGATGGGAACGCATTTGAACTTTCAAAATGGCAGCCTACGGTTCCCCCTTTCAACTTTGGAAAGGCAGTTATTTGCAAAGATTTCACTACACCAGCAGTCAGAGCTCAGATGTCAAAAGAAGATAACGAATTTCTATACAAATTACATTCATGTCGGGGCATGGTCAAGAGTCAAGATGACAAAATTACTTATTCCCCAAAGCTCCTGCGAAGGGATACTTCCAATGAGCGACTGCCAGTCATCATGTTCATCATCATCATCATCATCATCATCATCATAATCATCATCATCATCGTCATCATCCTCATCACAATCATCATCATAATCATCATCATCTTCTTCTTCATCATCATCATCATAATCATCTTCATCTTCATCGTCATCTTCATCTTCATCTTCATCATCATCATCATCATCATCATCATCATCATAATCATCTTCATCTTCATTATCATCATCAAACCATCATGATCATCTCCATTATCATCATTAGCAACATTATCAACATCAACATTAACATCGTCGTCATCATAATCATCCCGCCGGGTGGGTAATTGATTGTGGATTCTGTGTCGTTTTGCGTTTTGCAATGGATTTCATGTCTTTTTGTCAAGTTCGCGTCTCAATTCCATTAGTTTTATCGTTTTTCTGTGCACAGGCCATCAAATTTTGACATGTCATCCCCAGAAAGGTTCTCTACTTTTAGGGGGTCATTTCACAAAGCGACAGTGGGGCCATAGTTTTTGCACATGAAAGCGGCTATTTTTGCTGCAGAGCTGGTGACATCGGTTTGGTCACATCTGTGCCAGGGAAATCTCCTTGTTTCAGGGATTCCCAGCGCCATTGGGACGCTAACGTAGTAAGAAGTTGATAGAGAAGATAACAACGTAGTGCGAAGATGTCTTAGAAGAGATGCTAACGTAGTAAGAAGTTGATAGAGAAGATAACAACGTAGTGCGAAGATGTCTTAGAAGAGATGCTAACGCAGTTGGAAGTTGATAGAGAAGATAACAACGTAGTGCGAAGATGTCTTAGAAGAGATGCTAACGCAGTTGGAAGTTGATAGAGAAGATAACAACGTAGTGCGAAAGATGTCTTAGAAGAGATGCTAACGCAGTTGGAAGTTGATAGAGAAGATAACAACGTAGTGCGAAGATGTCTTAGAAGAGATGCTAACGCAGTTGGAAGTTGATAGAGAAGATAACAACGTAGTGCGAAGATGTCTTAGAAGAGATGCTAACGCAGTTGGAAGTTGATAGAGAAGATAACAACGTAGTGCGAAGATGTCTTAGAAGAGATGCTAACGCAGTTGGAAGTTGATAGAGAAGATAACAACGTAGTGCGAAGATGTCTTAGAAGAGATGCTAACGCAGTTGGAAGTTGATAGAGAAGATAACAACGTAGTGCGAAGATGTCTTAGAAGAGATGCTAACGCAGTTGGAAGTTGATAGAGAAGATAACAACGTAGTGAGAAGATGTCTTAGAAGAGATGCTAACGCAGTTGGAAGTTGATAGAGAAGATAACAACGTACTTGAAGATGTCTTAGAAGAGATGCTAACGCAGTTGGAAGTTGATAGAGAAGATAACAACGTAGTGAGAAGATGTCTTAGAAGAGATGCTAACGCAGTTGGAAGTTGATAGAGAAGATAACAACGTACTTGGAAGATGTCTTACAAGGTATGCTTACAGTTGGAAGTTGATAGAGAAGATAACAACGTAGTGCGAAGATGTCTTAGAAGAGATGCTAACGCAGTTGGAAGTTGATAGAGAAGATAACAACGTAGCGCGAAGATGTCTTAGAAGAGATGCTAACGCAGTTGGAAGTTGATAGAGAAGATAACAACGTAGTGCGAAAGATGTCTTAGAAGAGATGCTAACGCAGTTGGAAGTTGATAGAGAAGATAACAACGTAGTGAGAAGATGTCTTAGAAGAGATTCTAACGCAGTTGGAAGTTGATAGAGAAGATAACAACGTAGTGCGAAGATGTCTTAGAAGAGATGCTAACGCAGTTGGAAGTTGATAGAGAAGATAACAACGTAGTGCGAAGATGTCTTAGAAGAGATGCTAACGCAGTTGGAAGTTGATAGAGAAGATAACAACGTAGTGCGAAGATGTCTTAGAAGAGATGCTAACGCAGTTGGAAGTTGATAAAGAAGATAACAACGTAGTGCGAAGATGTCTTAGAAGAGATGCTAACGCAGTTGGAAGTTGATAGAGAAGATAACAACGTAGTGCGAAGATGTCTTAGAAGAGATGCTAACGCAGTTGGAAGTTGATAGAGAAGATAACAACGTAACAACGTAGTGGAAGATGTCTTAGAAGAGATGCTAACGCAGTTGGAAGTTGATAGAGAAGATAACAACGTAGTGCGAAGATGTCTTAGAAGAGAGTTAGCAGTTGGAAGTTGATAAAGAAGATAACAACGTAGTGCGAAGATGTCTTAGAAGAGATGCTAACGCAGTTGGAAGTTGATAGAGAAGATAACAACGTAGTGCGAAGATGTCTTAGAAGAGATGCTAACGCAGTTGGAAGTTGATAGAGAAGATAACAACGTAGTGCGAAAGATGTCTTAGAAGAGATGCTAACGCAGTTGGAAGTTGATAGAGAAGATAACAACGTAGTGAGAAGATGTCTTAGAAGAGATGCTAACGCAGTTGGAAGTTGATAGAGAAGATAACAACATACTTGGAAGATGTCTTAGAAGAGATGCTAACGCAGTTGGAAGTGATAGAGAAATAACAACGTAGTGCGAAGATTTTGTTTAGAAGGAGATTGCTAACGCAGTTGAGTTGATTAGAGAAGATAACAACTAGGCGAAAATGACTTAGAAGAGATGCGTAACGCAGTTGGAAGTGATAGAGAAGATAACAACGTAGTGAGAAGATTGTCTTAGGAAAAGATGCTAACGCAGTTGGAAGTGATTAGAGAAGATAACAACATACTTGGAAGATGTCTTAGAAGAGATGCTAACGCAGTTGGAAGTTGTAGAGAGATAACAACATAGTGGAAGTGTCTTAGGAAGAGATGCTAAGCAGTTGAAGTTGATTAGAGAAGATAACAACGTATTGAAGATGTCTTACAAAGGTATGCTTTACATAGTGGAAGTTGATAGAGGAAGATTAACAACGTTAGTGCGAAGATTGTCTTAGAAGAGAGCAACGCAGTTGGAAGTTGCTAAAGAAGATAAAAACGTAGCGCGAAGATGTCTTAGAAGAGATTGCTAACGCAGTTGGAAGTTGATAGAGAAGATAACAACGTAGTGAGAAGATGTCTTAGAAGAGATGCTAACGCAGTTGGAAGTTGATAGAGAAGATAACAACATACTTGGAAGATGTCTTAGAAGAGATGCTAACGCAGTTGGAAGTTGATAGAGAAGATAACAACGTAGTGAGAAGATGTCTTAGAAGAGATGCTAACGCAGTTGGAAGTTGATAGAGAAGATAACAACATACTTGGAAGATGTCTTAGAAGAGATGCTAACGCAGTTGGAAGTTGATAGAGAAGATAACAACGTAGTGAGAAGATGTCTTAGAAGAGATGCTAACGCAGTTGGAAGTTGATAGAGAAGATAACAACGTACTTGGAAGATGTCTTACAAGGTATGCTTACATAGTTGGAAGTTGATAGAGAAGATAACAACGTAGTGCGAAGATGTCTTAGAAGAGATGCTAACGCAGTTGGAAGTTGATAAAGAAGATAACAACGTAGCGCGAAGATGTCTTAGAAGAGATGCTAACGCAGTTGGAAGTTGATAGAGAAGATAACAACGTAGTGCGAAAGATGTCTTAGAAGAGATGCTAACGCAGTTGGAAGTTGATAGAGAAGATAACAACGTAGTGAGAAGATGTCTTAGAAGAGATTCTAACGCAGTTGGAAGTTGATAGAGAAGATAACAACGTAGTGCGAAGATGTCTTAGAAGAGATGCTAACGCAGTTGGAAGTTGATAGAGAAGATAACAACGTAGTGCGAAGATGTCTTAGAAGAGATGCTAACGCAGTTGGAAGTTGATAGAGAAGATAACAACGTAGTGCGAAGATGTCTTAGAAGAGATGCTAACGCAGTTGGAAGTTGATAGAGAAGATAACAACGTAGTGCGAAGATGTCTTAGAAGAGATGCTAACGCAGTTGGAAGTTGATAGAGAAGATAACAACGTAGTGCGAAGATGTCTTAGAAGAGATGCAGTTGGACGCAGTTGGAAGTTGATAGAGAAGATAACAACGTAGTGCGAAGATGTCTTAGAAGAGATGCTAACGCAGTTGGAAGTTGATAGAGAAGATAACAACGTAGTGCGAAGATGTCTTAGAAGAGATGCTAACGCAGTTGGAAGTTGATAGAGAAGATAACAACGTAGTGCGAAGACAACGTAGTGAGAAGATGTCTTAGAAGAGATGCTAACGCAGTTGGAAGTTGATAGAGAAGATAACAACGTAGTGCGAAGATGTCTTAGAAGAGATGCTAACGCAGTTGGAAGTTGATAGAGAAGATAACAACGTAGTGAGAAGATGTCTTAGAAGAGATGCTAACGCAGTTGGAAGTTGATAGAGAAGATAACAACGTAGTGAGAAGATGTCTTAGAAGAGATGCTAACGCAGTTGGAAGTTGATAGAGAAGATAACAACGTAGTGAGAAGATGTCTTAGAAGAGATGCTAACGCAGTTGGAAGTTGATAGAGAAGATAACAACGTACTTGCAAGATGTCTTACAAGGTGTCTCTTGTGCAAATGGGGGGCCTTGTGAGAGATATAGAATTTGAGCACCTGTAGACAAAGTTGATGTCGGTGATGTGCGTGTGTGTGTGTGTGCGTGATGTTGGCACAGCTGGTTGAAAATCGGATTGAACGCGCAATGGCGGAAATTATCACCCCAGCCTGTCAGCCACTCAGCCACTCTCCCAGAGTGGCTGGACCAGCCACTCAGCCACTCAGCCACTCTGCCAGAGTGGCTGGACCAGCCACTCTAGGAGAGTGGCTGAGTGCTGAGTGGCTAGTGCTGAGCGTGCTGAGTGGCTGGTCCAGCCACTCTGGGAGAGTGGCTGAGTGGCTGACAGCCACTCTGGGAGAGTGGCTGAGTGGCTGAGTGGCTGGTCCAGCCACTCTGGCAGAGTGGCTGAGTGGCTGAGTGGCTGGTTCAGCCGCTCTGGCAGAGTGGCTGGTTCAGCCGCTCTGGCAGAGTGGCTGAGTGGCTGAGTGGCTGGTTCAGCCGCTCTGGCAGAGTGGCTGAGTGGCTGAGTGGCTGGTCCAGCCACTCTGTTAGAGTGGCTGAGTGGCTGAGTGGCCAGGATGGATAACAAACTTCCTTCACTGGTAGCAGATTACTGTAGCTGTATGGAAAAGTTTTTCGATACATACGTAACTTAAGCCCCGTAAAAAAAATCTGCACACATTGCATCTGAATTTATATTCTTTGCTGGCTCGGTTTCGCGATAATGTTAGTTATTTGTATGTAGTGTTTCAACACGCTATGAACCAAACTACATTCGAACTCTACCATTTTCTTGTCAATAGTTTTGGCCAATGCAAATAAATATATCCATACGTATACACGTTGAACACAAAATCATCATAATTGATCTTTCGGTCAATGTGATGCCGACAATGCTTTGCACAAGGAATTCATTTGTTGAGAACACCACTACTTTTACTTTTATCCTTTCGTCCGTCATTGCATGCCGGACGCGCTGCTGTCTTCAGCGCTGTGTACGGCAGCACCTGGTGGGAACGGATTAACAATAGGTCCTAAGTCCGTTATGCAAGCACCAGAAGCTATTTGGCATTGTTTGTGAATTGCTTATGTTCTTGAAATGTGTTCTACACCAACAGTCCGAAACTGCCAAGAACCAGCCTGAACATTGCTACTGTTAGTCAATGGTATCCCCTAGATCGCAGCTGTTCCATGCATACTGCAGCCGTCAACATTTGATCTTCAAAAAAATCAGTGCGAAACGGCATCTTTGAATTGTTCATCCAAATTCACTAAGGAGATTTGGGGTTGAGCAGGAGATGGCAACAAGGTCGATACGCTTCGAATCTACGCCAAGTTACTAAAGCCAATATGATATGGTAAACCCAACTATAAATCGTTCCCATTGGTTCAAAGATCTCAACCTTTTTGCAAAACATATCGCATGTGAATTTATTTGCTAGTAGTTTTCTGGCAAAGTATTAAGTCGAAGGTCAGCCGTCAGATAAACGAAAGTCCCCCAGAAAGAGAGGGAACGATGGAAGCGAAGATACTTTCGATTCTTTTCTTAATTCTAAAGTTGAATGCATCCCGATTGTTTTTTTTGATTGAACAATTACCAGCTGAAGAGGTGTGCCCGGTAATGACACTAACCACTAACAATTTGCATCAAATTTGCAACATGGACCCTCACCATTTTGTACACAAATTGTTAAACTAGCTCGACCATGTAATAACAATCCATAGCACACAATGAAGTGACCATAACTTTTCAAAGCGATAGAGAAGTAATATATATATATATGTATATTTAATAACATGCATATATAAAAAGATTAGAACTATACTCAAATGTATCCTTCCTTTCGCCATAATGATCCGCAGAGACCCACAGAGCGAACCCCTTTAACACAAGTGACTAATAACTTCTTTTTTACAACCCTTTGGCACAAATGTTTGCATAAAATTCCATTCAATCCATAAGAATATATGCCCCCGTTCCCTACAAGATAAAGGAAGAAACCCTAAATTAGCTTCAAACCTCACTTAAAAAACTACCCAGACCTAAGAAAAATTAAGTCTGGGTAATACTGCTTACACTCTATTGGCTAAGTTGCACATGACTTCTTTCTCACAACCCTTTAACACAGATGTTTGCATAAAATTCCATTCAATCCATAAGAATATATGCCCCCGTTCCCTACAAGATAAAGGAAGAAACCCTAAATTAGCTTCAAACCTCACGTAGAAAATTACCCAGACCTAAGAAAAATTAGGTCTGGGTAATACTGCTTACACTCTATTGGCTAAGTTGCACATGACTTCTTTCTCACAACCCTTTGGCACAAATGTTTGCATAAAAATCCATTCAATCCATAAGAATATATACCCCCGTTCCCTACAAGAGAAAGGAAGAAACCCTAAATTAGCTTCAAACCTCACTTAAAAAATTACCCAGACCTAAGAAAAATTAGGTCTGGGTAATACTGCTTACACTCTATTGGCTAAGTTGCACATGACTTCTTTCTCACAACCCTTTGGCACAAATGTTTGCATAAAATTCCATTCAATCCATAAGAATATACCCCCGTTCCCTACAAGAGAAAGGAAGAAACCCTAAATTAGCTTCAAACCTCACTTAAAAAATTACCCAGACCTAAGAAAAATTAGGTCTGGGTAATACTGCTTACACTCTATTGGCTAAGTTGCACATGACTTCTTTCTCACAACCCTTTAACACACATGTTTGCATAAAATTCCATTCAATCCATAAGAATATATGCCCCCGTTCCCTACAAGATAAAGGAAGAAACCCTAAATTAGCTTCAAACCTCACTTAAAAAATTACCCAGACCAAAGAAAAATTAGGTCTGGGTAATACTGCTTAGTCTCCATTGGCTAAGCTGCACTAGCTATTCACCCACTGAGACATTCTGCCAGAGTGGCTTGGTGCAGCCACTCAGCCGCTCTGCCAGAGTGGCTGAGTGGCTGAGTGGCTGCTCCAGCCACTCTGCCACAGCCACTCAGCCACTCAGGACTCAGCCACTCAGCCACTCAGTCACTCAGAGTGGCTGAGTGGCTGAGTGGCTGAGTGGCTGGTCCAGCCACTCTGGCAGAGTGGCTGAGTGGCTGAGTGGCTGCTCCGATTTCGCGAGCCGTGTTGCACATCCACTCAAAAATCGTGTAGGTGATGTAGATGTTGTGCATGATGTGGACGAAGATGCTGTAGGTGATGCAGTAGATATCGTTAGGGATGTAGGGGATGTAGATTATGCTTGTGATGTAGATGAAGTTGATGTAGATGGATGTAGATGAAGCCTGAAGGAGAAATTGTTAGCAGTTCTTTGGGAAAAAACCCTTCCCAGGAGCTTTCGAGAATAAGTAAATTTAGTAAATAAATATATATATATATATACACAAGTATATATATATATACAAGTATATCACATTGTTTGAGAACTCCTACTTGCCCTGGCTCAGCATCAAACTCATCTCTTGATTTGACAAAGAAGATCCTGGACTAGGGGAAAGGGGCTGTCACAGGGTCCTGCAACTGAATGTTGTGACGGCCCAGGCCAGACTTGCTGACCTTTGGAACGCATGATGATGCAGGGAAAAGATCCCTGCATTCGCATTGGACGGAAGATCCTCTGCGCCAAATCCCCAGCAATATTGGCGCTTGGGGAATTAAAGGCTCTGCGGCAAGCCTTGGAAACGCATAGTCGACGAGATGCGCATGGCCCTCCACGCCTGCTTGTGGTCGCCTGACTCTTCACTTTGTTGCAAGTTTGAAGTTTTCAGGTGGCTTTCGGCCGGATTCACTGTCCTTCAGTAGCGCTGGCATCAGAGTAGGTGTGTCATTTTCATATCTGCATTGGTCACCGATTGGCCCAAGATTTTTGCAGTTTTTCATTAGTTTTTGCCGCTTCTCACAACATTGTTGGTTTTCCAGCCACGTTGGGGGATGGTTGACCAGGGGCAAGGGTCAGGATGATCAGCTCAAGCAACCCAGCGGGGGAGACCATGTGCAAGGGTGAAGTTGTTCAAATCAAACGCGGCATTGATTAATCACAAAATTGGCTTTTAAAACCCATCAAAGCGCCACAATAAGGTGGGCGTCAGATGGAAACGGGCAAAGGACCCTAAGTTGATGCGTTATTGAACGATGTCAATAATCTCGGCGATTTCACAACTTCTCATGCATGTTTCCAGGTTACTTGCTTCGGAAAACAATGGTTGGTAGATTCTGTAAATCTGCGCCCTTGACCGAAAGTTCCCGTACAGTGTGCCCTCGCTACTATTGGCATCCTCAGAGCGACCCGGAATGCTTGAGATTGCGCAGTGATGTAAAATCTTGTCCGCCCCTGCACAGCTATGCTGCTGGGGCAGACGTTTGTGGCTGATCGCCCGTGGCGATTCCAGTGACTTCTCCCAAGATTGACTCAGCTCCCTTCACAAAAAGTTTACGGCCAGACGGCACGTGGCAGAGTTTGCTCCCCCACTGTTCTCAACAGTGCTTTTTGGTTGGGAGGTGGCGACATGCAGATGGCTTGTAGGCTCCAGATAGACTGCGGGCAACCTGTGCCTGATGCTGGTTTCACCTTGTGCTACAGCGATATAGCACCCTGGCAGACGTTGCCATCACATGCCAACTCTCCGCCCGAAGCTTGTTTCCGTCAAAAGAGTTGAAACGCCAGTGGGGAGGGAATTCAGCCATACAGTACAGTTGCCAGAATGCTGATCAGCGCGCCATTGATGCAGATGAATGCCAGCCTTGCATTTTTCCAACTGCAGTGAGAGGATCATGGTTTGGAACCAGACATGTGGGGATCCGCATCTATTGGATACGCTGTCCCAACCAACAGAACGCCATTGGGTTCCAACATGAAAGGATCCGCACTACCTTTTGGCTATGTTTTCCAACACATTGCTCCATGCAACATCATTCGTTTTTTTTCTTGAATCTTGTCTCAAGACAGGGTCCATGTGTTGACAGCTGCTTAGAATTTGCCAGTCATTTTCGGTTCCTGGAATCAAGACACAGCGCAAAAGAAGAACATTATTTGCAATGCTTGAAAGATAATGCCATGCGTTGCGTGGCTGCTGGCTGCATCTTCGTGGCAGCCACTTTGGTCCCAACGTTTGGTTTCGGTTGCTCGGTAGAAGTTCAAGTGCATTCAAAGTCATCATGACTGCCTGAATGGCTGGCTTAGTTTCACACAAGACAAACAAACTTTCTCCAGGCATTTTGAATGTCACGTTGATGAGCATTGAGGTGATTTGTCCTGTTGGTTGGACATTGTCGACTACAAAACCTGTTGCAATCCGCATTGCTGGGGCGACGGTTTCACATTCGAGCGATGCTGCGTCGCTTGGCACAGTGGTGAACAGTGATGCCCGTGGTCATTTAACCACTGCAAGATGCTACCACCGATTTACAATGTGCCAGCCTATGGCCGAATCAACTTCTACTGTGATCAGTACTGATGTTATGACCGTTACCACTTTGTTGGTGAGATACCAATTTGCTTGATGAAGTTCCTCCTTTTGGGGTACACCATGGGAAATCTTCAGTCCCCGGTAGTTGGTTTCCAGTCAGGCCGTTGATCCCTGCCTCCATCAACTCCAAGCGCATCAGCCCAACTGTCGCGACGCGGCTCCCACTGCGGCTTTGATCGAAGATGCCCTGGCAGTCATCGGGAAATCCGAGTTGCTAGGTGGTTTCGGACGCGACAAGTATGCACAAGCCACAGGTATATAATCAAAGGAAGTTTCAAAGTCTAAGTTCCGTGTGGCAGATCTTTGGAAGTCACTGCAGCCTCACACCTAAGAAGTCTCATCATAGCAAGAACTCTCACAGCAAAGAAGTCTCACAACAAAGACATCTCATAGCAAAGAAGTCTCACAGAAAAGAGGCAAAGAAGTCTCACGACAAAGAAATCTCATAGCAAAGAAGTCGCACAGCAAAGAGACCTCATAGCAAAGAAGTCTCATAGCAAAGAAGTCTCATAGCAAAGAAGTCTCACAGCAAAGCGGTCTCACTGCAAAGAAGTGTCACAACAAAGGGATCTCATAGCAAAGGAGTGTCACGGCAAAGAATTCGCACAGCAAAGAGATCTCATAGCAAAGACGCCTCACAGCAAAGAGATCTCACAGCGAAGAAGTCTCACAGCGAATAGATTTCATAGCAACAAGAGATCTCACAGCAAAGAGATCTCGTAGCAAAGAGATCTCACAGCAAAGAAATTTCATAGTAAAGAGGTCTCACAGCAAAGAAACTCACAGCAAAGAAGTCTCACAGCAAAGAAGCCTCACAGCAAAGAGATCTCATAGAGAAGAAGTCTCACAGCAAAGAGGTCTCTCGCACGAAAGCTTCGTTTTCACATCTTCAACTTTCAGTTTTTGAGGGAAGTCTCACACGAAAGTTGCGTTTTCACATGTTTTCACGGCTTCAACTTGTGTAAAAGCTTCCCTGTCTCTGTGTAAAAGCTTCTGTGCGTACAAGCTTCTCTGCGCGAAAGCTTGCCGTGTGTAAAAGCTTCTCTGTGTCAAGTCTTTCCTGTGGAAAGCGTAGGGGCCACTTGCTTTGGCGCCGAGATCTGTTTTTGGAGCAGGTCTTGTGCCAGAGACGAGCTGAGATGATCTGAGAGTGCGCCGAGGAGCTGAGATGAGGTGAGACGAGCTGACAAGTGCTGAGATTAGCTGAGGAGATGTGGGAAGAGCTAAGAAGATGTGAGAAGATTTAGAGAAGAGATGAGAAGACATAACATGAGCTGACATGAGCTGCGGAGAGCTGAGAAAATCTGAGAAAATCTGAGACAAGCTGAGATGAGATGAGACGAGGTGAGAAAAGCTCAGGTCTGTGGTCAGCTGAGAAAAGATGAGAAACAGAGAGAAGACATGAGATGGAATGAGATGAGATGAGGTGAACGAAGCTGAGAAGACATGAGATGAGATCAGTTGAGATGAGACGGGATGACACAGACCGTGGTGACAATGGGATGCAATGAGCAACTTCCAAGAGAAGCTGCGTTGCGATGAGATCAGGTGAAATGAGAAAAGATTCAAGATTAAAAAAATGGCATCAGATTGACAAGTCAAGAGCTTGTTGCTGCGAAGCACGGAAGGCCTGGCAGCAACCTATAGGCACAGTCTTTGCTCCGCTCTATAGGCCAGAAGCGTTTCAAATTTGAAACTTCCACCCCCGGCTTGACCGGGAACTACTTGTATGAATGGGAAGATTGCAGGCAAGAATGGGGTCAGAAATCCACAACGCTGTTTGGTGGTTTGAGATACACGTCTTCTTGCCTTACATGGATGGGATTCTAAATTGTCCGAAACTTTGGGTTAAAACTTGAAGCCAGCAACGTCAGCGCGGTTCTTGCTGCAGCCTGGTTTCGAGGCTGAAGAAGTACATTTTGGCCGTGCAGATCAGTTTGGAACAAAAGGATCAGATCGGCTTCGACCCCATGGCGTCTACGGCTTTCTTAGCTGGCGAACGGCTGAAGGCTGGTTCCATCTGGTTCCACTTGTTGGTGGCTAGACTGGCTAGACTTATAGCATGGGGTGACAGGTTATTCCTATGTTATCCTTAATCGATCTACATTGAATCCCACAAAAGGTGCACGTCGCAACGTACCTTTTCTTTAAAAGGGGTTTTAAATATTTTAATATTCGATCACCTGCATGGCAGATGTGTCACCATGTGTCACCCTAACCCCAAGCCACGTGTTCCGGCAGGGCTTGCCTGGATATGGTGAACCTGGATTTCGAGCAAGGATCTACTATGAATTGGCATGTCAGTCTTCGCATTTGTTGGCCAAGAACGTGTGCCTTGGTTTGATGTTTGTTCAATGTGCGCAGAGAACTCTGAAACAATTTTTTGATATCTGTTGAATCAGTTGATACATTGTACAAATTCCAAACATGTTGTAGCTATCGAGATGACAGGATGTCATGGACTTTGGTGCCGATATTGGATTTGTTGAGTGTATTTTATTTTGTTTCAAGTGGTTGTTTGACACTTGTATTTCACAGAATCACAGGTGTTCAATCATTAAAGCGTGTTCTTCAAACATGTGCCTGTTCAAAAAAAATTGCGAATGTCTGGACAAGAAGGTTGAGTGGTTTTGGTCAGTCCAGCTAGATTCTAGATCAGAACCTTTGTTGAGTTGCGCTCAGGATTGCCTTGTGCCCCGAACTCTCGGGTCACGTTTTGGACCAGCAGCAGACCATCAGAAAGGTCAATTTGCTACACCTTGCCAGACTGCTGTCTGGCGAAGCTTAGCAGAAAAGACCTGCCATGAAATCAGAAGCTCTAAACCCAGAACGTGATTTGAAACATTGGCATGGTGAGTTGTTTCATGTTTTTCTTTCCAGCCGGGCGCCCGCTTCGTAAAGGAGATTGGTTCGAGTCTCAACAGAAACAAAAAACATCTGAATGCGTCTGATGGATTGTTTAGCGAATCTTCCAAGCATTCAGTATGTCCATGGATGCATGTGGTTGGAAGATGTTGGAAATCAAGTTACGGAACATACAAGCATCAATAGTTCCCTAAAGAACATGCTGCTACGATCCATGAGTCATCCACCTAACTCAGGACATCTTTCACCTGGCAGGATATTTGTTTCGTGTAGCTATTGAGTTCCTTGGTCATTGAAACAACGTGTTTGTTGAGAATGGTGCAATGATTTGGTCATGGGGCTAAATGGAAAGTGGCAGAAAACCCTGTCAACTGGGGAGAGAATCTACTCATTAAGCAACGTTTGAGTTCAACGATCATCACAATAGTTTGGACTCACCTTGTGGATGCGATGCATGCTTTGATGCACGTGGCCAATGATTGGTACAGTGGATGAAGACGATGAGAGTGATGATGATAATGAGGGGGATGAGGATAAGGATGGTGGTGATAACCATTCTCAAGATGATCATAGATGATCCTTGCTATTCTAACCCCACGATTTCCTTTGTTTCTTGGATCCCTGTGAAAGTCATAGTCTTAACGCAGCTCCAAGGCTAGTGGGTTGGCTGCACCTCTCATCAGGGAACTGCCAGAAAAACCGGCAGCAGCTCTCGCAAGCTATCGCCAGCAGCCTGCAGAGCTACTGGGAACAGATGGGAAAGGCGTCGTGCGTCCAGCTGGGGAGTTCAAAATCGCCAGCGATTAACAGGGGTCCTGGCGGTCATGATGGAGAATCAGAATGCCACACATGTTGCGACAAGGGGCCAAATTTTGATCACTGCGGATGTAACTTGACTTTGGCTGAAGCTTTCCGAAACGTTGAACCCAAACAAGAAGTTATTGTTGACCCAAAAGATATGACCAGCTATTTGCGGAGCGGTAGAGATACCTCAAATAACTTGACCATGGCCACATTATAAATAACCAATGTTTCAAATTCTTCAATATCTTGGATTTCGAATCAACTATTGGTGAAAGTTGCCTGTTTTCCCATGAATTTCCCCGAGTTTCCCCCATATTTCTGCACCTGCCAGGCCTTGAACCAACTCAGCACTCCACAAGTTTACGCGCCAGGTGCCATGGCTGTTTTGTACAGACCCGAGCATTTAAAGTGGAAGCAGATATTATAGAGTAGCTAGCAAGGACTATTGAGGATTTTGGCTGGTTCGTGGTTTCATCTTGGTCGAACCCAGAGCAGAGTTGCTAAAAACCTATTAGAATTTAGAGCTATGATTTGGGTTAGCAACAACGCAGATTCAATGGGAGATTTCGCAACAATGGGAAGATCATCAGCAATCGGGAATGCAACCTGTCACAGGTTGGCGGCATGGTTGTTCCCAAATCACCACACCCATCCACTGCAAGGCATGGGAAGTACCTCAAATATCATCGCAGAGAGGATGACTTCTCCTGGCCTCATCGACTTTTGGAAAAAGCTGGTCGAAGGCAGTTCTGTTCATGTCGCAGCGGATCTCCTGAAAAGACTACCCTTAGATTATATATATAAATTCCAATCAAAAAATCATATAAAGATCCAGGAAAATCCTGAAACTTGCCCTGCTGGCGCCAGGCGCCATGTCTGCGCCTTGTTTGGACATCGTCCTGAACTTGGTGATTTTGGTCTCCTACATCCTCAACGATGCAGTCCGCTTGAGGACGCACTTGTTTGCCCAGTTCTACGTCACATGGCTTTTGCGAAGGTGACTTCTGTGAATTCTGTTGTGTTCCCACTGGGAAAGCTATACCATGAATGGGATTCTCTACACTTTAAAATGATTTTGGGTATAACCTGTATACAACTGGGGTATTCATCATGGAATATCATATTTGTACCTTATCTAAGATTTAAAAGGTATGCTTTCATATGGTTCTATCTTATGCCAGAGGTTTGTGGCAGTTTAAGGTGGCAAGTTCGGTGGCGGTGGCAGTTTAAGCTGGCAGTGGTGATAAATTATACCTGTGTAAACACACCATACTCATCAGCCACCATTTGAGATGCACATCCCACAAGGTCACCGAGCTGCAAAGTGAACATCTTCCAGCAACTTCACGTGCAGTCAACGTCCTAGCGCCGCAACAGCCGGGTCAGCAGTTTGTTTTTCAAACGCACCGCTGCTGTCTGCGATACCATGTGCTACTTCAATTGCTGGAGGAGCTGTGGTGAGCTGTTGCTGGTTTCAATGGGGGCCTAAACTTGGATGGGGCTGCGGCTGGGTGATTTCTAACATGGATGTTGCTAGGTTTTTGGGAAAGCACTTTAGCCAACTCTTTTTTCTTTTATCTTAGGTTCCCCCGCGAATCCCATAGAGGAACTGCAGCTTCAGAAGTCCCAAGTTACGATGATCGAGATCGGAGTTCACACGGGTTCCACCGCCAAATTCCTCCTGGACCGAGCTCCTTTCTTGCGATGGACGGGCATTGATCCCTACATCGACTACAGAACTGGCTCCGGTGCCTTGCACTTGGAACTAGCCATGTTGGGAAAAAGCATGAAAATCCCACATGAAATATGCGGGTGCATGGGTAAACCATGTGTTCTTCATTTTTGGGGTTAGAATAAGCGAGCACTACTCCACAAAGCATCAAATTCTTGTCGTTGAGAACCGTTGAGGTGATGGTTTGTTCGCAGATGCCATGAAAAACCTGGAGCCTTTTGGTCAGCGAGCTCAGCTTCTGCGAATGCCATCGTCAGAGGCATGGGAAACTGAAGGGCCTCTTCGAGGAGTCTTGGCAGTTCAGTGTGACAGTTGTGGATTTACCCGCAAGTTCTGGCTGAATAGGAAAACAATATGATTAATTAAACAGTTCATGGAATTGGGGATACCCAATTTTCAAAAGAATCCATTTGAATCTTGTAAATGGTGAAAGCAGGGTTTGTGAGGGAGTTTGTACGGACATTTATGTGTTAGAGCACCGCTACATGCAATTTTTGGATTGCCCTTTTGAGTGTCCGAGGAGTTGATGTGAAATCAGTGGACTTGTTGTTTGTGGATGGAGATCACGATTACAATGCCACCTTGAACGATTTGAAATCCTGGTCGCGATTCGTGCGAAATGGCGGCATCATCTCTGGGCACGATATTTTCAACCCAGTGAATGATGGGGTCACAGATGCTGTGGAGGATCTTTTACGTGGTAAAAACACCATTGTGAGATTTGCCACAGACCACGTGTATTGGTGGTACTCGTAGTGCTGAACTTCGACAAGTTTCGCTGGGAACATCTTGGAACATCCTGGACCCGCTCATCGGGTGTCTTGCCCAACCGGAGTTGCAACGAGAGGCCTTGCACGACCTGGTGGCTGCACCGTACAATTCCTGGGTGCCAAGGGTGACAAGACGATCGAAGGACGCACGGACCTAGGCAACTTGGCGCGGCTCATCTTTCGAGGAGCAAGAGGCAACTTGGTGCTTTCCGAGAAAAGAGACATTCAGCTGGTGATGCTGGTGCCTGTGAGGTTGTGACATGTTGTGACTTGACAAGTTGATTTGCATTCAGTAGGACCTTCTAAGACCTCCCACACTCCACCTCTCTTGTGTGGGTGCTGCTGCTTTGCATGTTTCTTGCATCATTCCCATTGCCAACGTTGGCCCAAGTTGCTTGCTGCAGTTTGGTATGTCTGAAAGATTCTGTCAGCAAGAAACACAATCCTAGAACTCTTCCGCAGGTAAGGGTTTGGCATGCCAGTGGATTATGGACTCCTGTTAGGCAGTGACCATTGCATTCGGCCATGTCAGTCCTCATGCTATGCTCCGGAGAGCTCTCTTGCGCAGCGCGCAGAGGAGGAACAGTGGCTGCAGTGTCAGTTTTCTTTTGCGTTTTTTGGCCGTTGTGTTCACAAATGAATTCCAGCAGTTACGTTCAAGGAATTGACCCACTGGCGGACTCTTAGGTTCAGGAGCTGACTCACTAGCGGACTTTTCAAAATCATTGTTTTGATTGTTGGCTACACAACATTATCAAAGATTAATAAAGAGTTTGCTCAACAACATTGTTTACTGAGATTACTGGCTTCATCCTGTTTGACCATCTGCAGTTCAGGACGGCTGAAGCCAAAGCCATCACCAGGCAGTGTGCAACGCGGAGCCATGTTTAAACAACCTGCAGATTGCAAGCCATGCCTTGACCACGGTGGAAGATCACAGTGCTGCATCAGGCAGTTGGTCAAACTTGGCTCCGATTCGCTGTGGAACAAAGTGAGGTTCTCAGCATGGAAGAAACAGAGTCAAACCTGCCGAGTCAGCTGGACCCATCTGGACACTATTTTTCATCTATTCCCTTCAAAGCCAAACATCATCAAACGCCATCGGACCCATGTTGATTCATCTTGAGCCACCGGAATGTCAGGCGTTGGAGCTTCTGGGAGCGTCTTTCAGTTTGGTGCATACCAATGCAGTTTGGTTCCTCAGCCGTGAAGTTGGTCTCAATCGACTGTAGTGACAGGTCACCCAAATGACTTCCATGGCGGAGATGTTTACTGAATTTTCATGAACTGTGTAGCTGAGATTTCCCAGCCTTACAGCATTTCCGTGACACACCTTGGGCGCCTGGGATGCTGAGGTCATTTCTGCATGTAGCAAAGCAAAGCAGTGGCAACAGGTTGAGAGCTTGGTCAGACCATGTGAGGCTGAAGTTTCACGTTGAAGGAGCACAGTGCCAATACACTAAGAAGTGGATGATTCACAAATTCTATCTGGTTTGGTCTATGTTTTTGATGTGGTAAATTTAAAGCAACATGGGGATGGATCAAAAGCTATGAACGATAATGCTGACTATACCATGACACCATATGCTGGGACGGATAAATGAACCCCTCATGGTGTTTGCTGTGCGTTTGAGGCCCTGGCTCTCTTGGTTGACTCGCCACGACGGGACTGCCGGTTTCTGCGGAGTACCGTTACTTTGTCGAAGCGAAGATTCGGATATCAATCTCCCAGATGGAAAAGTAGGAAAATCCAACTGTAAAACACATCAATATACGTTCCATCTCTTTGGGAAGGCCCCGCAAATGAACCTTCAGCAAAGTCCTTTGTTTTTTTGAATCACTTGAGAGTTTTGCGAAAAATGCAAAAGATTCCCATTGTCTGGCCATGTTCAATGGGAAGAATGGGAATGATTTTGATAAACACTTGGACTTTCATTGCCAATTGCCAATGTTCATGAGTGTATTTGGATTGTCACCGCCGGTATTTACGGGTCATACTCCTCTTCTAATGGCGCAAATGATAAACCACTGGCACTTCGCAGGACGCAGTTTCCTTGGCGGCAGCCTTGGGTGCCAAGCCACCTTGGCGACAGGTGCTACAGTTGCTGCAAGCCTCTGAGCGATGGCAGCTGCAAAGTGATGTGCCTTGACTGTGACATGGATGCCCTGTCGTTAGGGCGGATCTTGAATGGCAATTCTGATGTATACAACTTATTAATAACCCTTTTTTTGGAGGCAAAGTCTTTGAGTTTCAGTAAGGGTCTGATTTTAGAACTCAACAGTTGTGTTCGGAATCAAAATATGTGCTTGGTATGTAAGGGCTTTGCTGATGCAGAGGAGATATCAGGAATCGCAATCATCGCACGTCAGGAGATGGTTGCATCTGCAGCCATCAGCTCCTGCAGCCACGAGTCTATGTGGGAGGCCCGGTGAGCTGAGCTGTTCACCGTCTTTGATCCAGACAGCGGTTTCAAATATCCAACAAGAGCAGGGAGAATTCCGAAGGAATAATCAGAGTCAACTGAGAATTTAGTATATTTATGGGGATAGGGCTAAACATACATGATTCTTGGGGTGATGATTGGTTGATGGATTCGAACGTTGGTTTCAAGAGTTGGCGTAAACCGGGAATCTACCACTATTCCACCACTAGATGTTAAAATCACTATAGCAAAGTGGTGATATTGCATGTATCACTGGTGTCAAAAATATCTTGTTTCCAACCAATGAGACTTAGATATCTTAGATAGAACGGCAATGAACGGCATGATGACCCCATGAAATCGTTGCTTTTTGGGTGGCTGAGAACCACCGTAACTTGACCAGGTGTCGTTGGCTCTCCTGACGAAGTTCAAGGTGGAGTCGACCGTGGCTGTTGGTGCTGCGATTTCAGGAGCGCCGGATCTCTCCCGAAGGTATAAAAATTATAACCATAATGAGGCTAAAGTAGGGATATATTATGTATATACTGTGATTATCTAATTTAGAAATTACTGTGTATGATGCTGCTTTCCAAAATTTGGTGAACAATTTCTCAAAAAAACCATTGGGGGAGAATAACGTTCCCCCAAAATCCCAACGAGCTTTCTCCAATTTCAGAATTTGTCAAAGGTGTGAACATAGTGACATAGTGACATGAGACATCTTCTGTCAGTGCCCTTTTGGTCCCTTTTGTTCGGGATAAACAGAAACTGTTGGAGGTAAGATGACAGGAATGGAAACCCTATTTTGAGATTTGAAGTAGGTGACTTGTTTTGCAAGCATTGTCGCAACTTGCCAGCTTATTTCAGAGCTAGTGTTTTCCCCATCCCAGATCCACACAGCGATTACGGATGCAGGAGCTGAACGCTCGGCTCAATGGCAAGTGGCAATTGCTTTGCTGAAGAACTTGAGGGCGAAGGTTGCCGGGAAAGTGTAGATGTATCGACTCGTGGTAGATAAAACATTGCAGGCATTGTGTTTGTGAGATGGTCAATGATGGTCAGCATGAAGAATAACACATGGCATACGGAAGTCAAATGGCCAGACGAATGGACAGGTGAGACCCCGCTTCATTGCCTTCTCCACCACCATCTTGGCGTGTAGCAAGTCATCTCAGTGGGAGGCGTCGCTGCAAGTTTGCCCTTTTCAATTGTCAAGAATTGGCCGGATGACACGAGTTTCCACTTTGCAGTGTGCAAGAAGCATTTTTTGGAAGTCTCCACTCTGTAGTTTGAGTTGCAGTTAGGCAGTGATGCAACTGCTGGAAGAGGAAGGACAAGCACTCGATGCGGTGACATGTACTGCAGCAATCACAGTCACTTTGGCCAAGTCAAATTTGACTTCGAAGTAGAAACTGTCTATGAAACCCACACGCTTAACGCAGCTTGTTCGGAAATCAACGGGAAGGCCATGCGTGATATTTTGCAGTTTACCTCACCACATCTGACCCAAGATCCAAGGCTTGCCGTGATGGCCACAATTGGCAGTTTGCTCTTGGTCCCACAGCAGCACTACTTGAAACAGAAGACGGACTACTTGATAGCACAGTATTCAAACATAGAGAGTAGACGCTCAGGATTTCTAAAGATCAGAGCCTTCATTTGGTTTTGTCCATTTTTTGGGAGAAAGCGGCAACGTTATCCCATGGTTTATCTGGTTTGTATCATCGGTTTCCCCATTATTTAATGACCATAAAGTTGATGCCATAGCCCATTTCCAGAGAGACCTGTAGGTTTGCTCTTCGATGCTCTTGACCAGCAACCAAGTCCCTTCCAGCAACGAGGACAGACACATCACGGTAGAGCAATGAAACTTGACTGGGAATAGTTAAAATGCAACCGTTCCCTGATATTCACACGAAGAAACTGGTAAAAGGATAAAGATACTGCAAGTGTATAGTATCATCATAAGTTTGAACCATTTTAAAAAACCTATCCCCAAAAGTTGGTTTCCAGAGGTTCAGATGATTTTTTGGTTAACAAATGTCTTGGTAGATTGGATTCCTTCAGGTCAGACCTTGCATCAGCTTCGTCAGGAGAAGCACCGAGTCTGACGTCATCGAACGCCTGTTTGAGCGCTTTAGAAAGATCCAGATGCTCAGCGCAAAATATCAAACCTATCCAAACCTTACTTTGAAATTGTTTAATTACTACAAATGCCTGGAGATCTCCAAACCTGATCATTTTATTGTAAATGCCTATAGGGATGTCTGGGCGATACCTACAAGCAATGCCGATTGATGTTGATGAGGCCGATGGCAGCTGGCGATTTGCATGTTAATCAACGATCTTCCCTTGCGACGCCTACAGCCTGATGAAGTTTCCCTGCTGAATTTACAGCTTTCCTTGTGCAAAATAAAAAACGTTGTTTTTAAATTGCGGAACATTCTTCACGATGTAGCATCTTTGATGCTTGTGTAGTTTGAGGTTCTTTCAGCATCAAAACTTAGCTTCGGTCCAAAAATATGATGTATCCAGCCATATCCAGCCTTTGGCCCCTTCACTCAGGTTTCCTTCAACACGGCGATCAGCTGCTGCAGTGCTCGGCTGAAGTGGCAGCATGCCTTGGCCTTGCTGCGGCGAATGCAGCAACATCAGCTGCGGGAAGATGCTGTTGCCCGGCTGACCTGGCCGAAAGCAGATGGATCTGTTTGAAAATGGGACATGCCCCGAGAGATTGCCGTTCTTGGTGGAACATTGATGAACATTGCGTTTGAGCATTGGATTTGTGACATGCTTATTTTTTGGATCAATCCAAGATGTCAAAGATGCGAATAAAGAAAGCGATGGTTTGATATCATGATACTTGATTTGATGTGTTTTCATATGTATGATGTCAAGATATCAAATGATATCGAAGAGATCTGCAATCCAAGATATCATACAGATGACGTGAATCGCATGATAGTCTTCAGGATCATTTCAAGATTGATTTCCAGAATTCCTTGGCGTGAGGTGACGTGGAATGCTTGCATGACTGCTTGCAGCAATGGGCAGAAGGCTGAACTCGCCTTGGATTTATTCCAGGAATTCAAGTGCCACGGAAACGTGAGCACCGTCACTTGGCTGAGATCAGATTTAGTGTTTGAAAGTTTGGTTGCCGGTCGCTTCAAGCTGCGACAAGCTGTGGAAGTACGCATGCATCACCTGGGATATATGCAGCTTTCTGATGAATCAGGGCCCTCAGCCCTCAGCACAAGTCTCTTAAGGCCGTGGCCAACGCAGCCATCGCAGCATGTGTTCCAACCCACTCGTGGCAGTTTGCCGTGGAGCTGTTCCAACAGCTACAGCGGGGATGGACTTCGAAGGTGTTTCGGTACCAATTGATGGGTTAAGTCGTTGGGGTACCAGATGCACCCATCAATTTGCTCATTTTGTGCATGTTGAAGCATCCATTGTGAAGATTTTGGCCCATACCCAGACACGCCACATGCAAAATCCATATACAAAAAGTCAGCTGCGCAACTCAATGGACAGGCAAAGTCTCTTGATGCTGCCGCTGACAGAGTGTCATTCAACACCACCCTTGCTGCTTGTGCGGCTGGTCAGGCAAGAATCTTCAACAAGAACTTCGGACGAAAACAATGCCTGTGCAATGTATGGTCCTGTATCCAAAAATTGGATGAAAAGAGCATTTACACGTGTCCCCCTTTAACCTAACGATGTTAATCTCTGTATTTGTTTGGACAGATCCAGGTGGTTGCGGCTGTGAAAGTTTTCCCCCTGTGAGGCTTGGGAGATGGCATTGTCGCTCGCCGCCGAAGGTGCGCTCAACGAGATCGCCTTGGGTGCTGTGATCGCTGCCATGGGCACCCGATGGAAGGAGGGACCTGTACACAGGAGATTTCATGTAGAGCTTAGGTTTGATATGGTTTGATGGTTATGCCGTTATGCCTGTTATGCTTTGATTTATTGCAATCATGGGCGTACTGATCACAGTAAATCGTGGAGCTTGAGGGGCCATGCTGCCTCCCAACGCACAACTACGAATCTATATACGTCATTTTTGTTTGAAACAGAACACTTGGGGCATATACAGGAAGCACATGGAAGAACCGGTTTATTTTACAGAAGACCACCCTGCCCAAATCCAAGACCTGCAGTGGCAGGAGGCAATTCAACTTGCCCAGCAAGCAGCAGAAAGATGCCCCGAAACAATCCAACAAAGCCCTGGCAGATGTACCGTCCAGCAGCACTTACGCCGCGCACTGATCTTGGCGGGAAAAGTTCACAAAAATGGATGCCCTTTTGGAAAGGTTTCACTTGATGATTTTTGCTAAAGTTTCACCTGGATCTCATCTTCGAAGCCGTTTGCTGTTTCATCATACTGATCGAATTCTTGCATCCTGCTCTTCCTTTATCTTGCTGAGAATTTCCCCCCATCAGTTAGTTTTGCATGTTTTGCCCGGTGAAACGACTGAATGTTTGGAGAGGATGCATCACAATTTGTAAAGGGCAGGATGTCGTGGACTTTGTACGAAGATGCATGTTGCATACCACCACGCAACAGTTCTTATTGCATGTTTCATGCCTGCGGACAAATTTCTTGTCCTAGAGCCCTCGAGCCACTCTCTTCCCATAGTCCTTAGCTATCTTGCTCCTTCATGGCATCAACCACGCAGACCGTGACTGTCCAGAGCAACACCATGCGAGAGCTCTTCTTGCAAACTCCAGATGGCAAGGACTTCAGGATCAAGGCAACTGGGGGGCATCCTTTCTACACCAAAGAAAAGGACTGGGCAGTGATCTCCCCAGATGACGCTCACTTTGACACGTCCAAGCCAGTGAAGAAGCTCAGTGTAGGTGACACGCTGGTTCTTCGCAGCGGTGCCGGCGCCAAGCTTTTGAAGATTGGAGAAGTGTTGCCACGCCAGAAGACTTACAACCTTTCCATTGATGGGCCAGGCACCTTTTTCGTGGAGGGCATCTTATCACACTCAGGGTTGCCGCCGCCGAAGAAGTGAAGGGCTGAGTCAGCCGAGCGCAAGCTCAACTTCACATGCCGCTGTGGTACAGCAGTGTGTGAATGCCGGGACGGGCGTGAGCGGGCAGAGCAGTCTTTGGCTGCCGACCTGTGCATCTCTAAGATAGATGGCTGCAAGATTAGACCTGACTTCACACGGTTTACAAAGAGGTTTGCAATTTGCTTGGTGTTTTTAGGTGCGTCCCCGCTATTGAATACATACGACCCTGAGTTTTGTTTAACCTGTGTAGATTACAGATGCGAGGGCACATTCCGTCTGCCTTGCTCCTACAGACTGGCGCGCGTTCTCGCGTGAGATTTCAATTGCATGAGGTCAAAGGTAGGCAACCAGCACAAGACATGGTTTCCAGGGATTGGTTTTGTTGGCGTCAAAAAGAGAGGGAAGCCGCCAGCTTGCTGCTGGTGCCGCATCTGAAACACATGGCTGAAGCATCAGGCGGTCCGTTTGTGAGACGTGGCTTCGCAGGTTTGATTGATTCGGCTAAGGCTAGAAATTCAGAAGGCCTTGTGTCTTTGAAGAAATAAATTTTGCGGAGCAATTCAACAGTGCCAGCGCGCTAGTTTTCTGTTGCATGCTGTTGCTTTCCAAGTGTCTTTTCGGGGGGTTCCAGTTTTCTGTTTTTGGACAGGTCACCAGCTGAAAGTGCAGGTCATGAGGCTTAAGGCTAGTGCCACCACAAAACAAATCTTGCTGCGATCCTTTGAAGAGATTTCTTGTACTCGAAACCCTTGGCCACCGTCGTCCCATAGTCCTTGGCTATCTTGCTCCTTCATGGCGTCCGCGACTCGAACAGTGACTGTGCCAGCAGCGGCAGCGGCATCAGATGGAGTGCGCGCAGCTGACGCAACTCCTGGGTCTTGGGCGCTTGTCTCCACACCTGCCAGCAGCCCAACCACATCTGAGACTTCAAGCGACGGCTCAAGTGACCTCTCGTTTTGGTTCCAAAAGATGGGGGCGCCCTGTCCGGAAAAGTGGGCGCGCAAGTTTTATGATGCTGGCTATGGGGACGTGGAGGAAGTAGCAGCCTTGGCAGCTGCTGATTTGGATAATGTGTTCACTGAGCTTGGTGTCCCATCTGGCATTCAGAAGAAACTTCGGACTGGCATTCCACAGTTCCGAGATGGAACCCTTGCTTCCATGCCGCAGGGTGATTTGGATGCAACAGCTCCTGTTCAGTCTGAAGGCTTCAATTGGTGGTTTTGGGGATGCATCGCTGTGGCTGCTGTTGTAGTTGCCGCCGCTGGTGCTATGGTGCTCGCCAAACAAGCAGCTGCAGCAGAAGTTGCAGCAGCAAAAGCAGCAAAAGAGGCAGCGGCGGCCGCAGCAGCAGCTGCAGCAAAAGCAGCAGAAGAGGCAGCGGCGGCCGCAGCAGCAGCTGCGGCAGAAGAGGCAGCTGCGGCCGCAGCAGCAGCTGCGGCAGTAGCTGCAACACAAGAGGCAGCTGTAGTGGCGGGGGCCGGTGTTGCTGGTAGTTTTGCTGTCAGTTTCATGTTGCTGCCTCTTGTAGTAGACTGTTTGGACGGTGAGACTTTGGTGACGATGGCAGACCGCTCCAAGAAAAAGATCAAAGATGTGAAGGTGGGCGACAAGATCTTGAGCTACAACAAAGGCAAGCTGCATGTGAAGACCGTGGTTAAGGTGAAGGAAGGCCAGAGCAACACCATGCGAGAGCTGTTCTTGCAAACTCCAGATGGCAAGGACTTCAGGATCAAGGCAACTGGGGGGCATCCTTTCTACACCAAAGAAAAGGAGTGGGCAGTGATCTCCCCAGACGCTCACTTCGATACATCCAAGCCGGTGAAGAAGCTCAGTGTAGGTGACACGCTGGTTCTTCGCAGCGGTGCTGGCGCCAAGCTTTTGAAGATTGGAGAAGTGTTGCCACGCCAGAAGACTTACAACCTTTCCATTGATGGGCCAGGCACCTTTTTCGTCGAGGGCATCTTGTCACACTCAGGGTTGCCGCCGCCGAAGAAGTGAAGGGCTGAGTCAGCCGAGCACAAGCTCAACTTCACATGCCGCTGTGGTACAGCAGTGCGTGAATGCCGGGACGGGCGTGAGCGGGCAGAGCAGTCTTTGGCTGCCGACCTGTGCATCTCTAAGATAGATGGCTGCAAGATTAGACCTGACTTAGTTCACCCATTTCATAGAAAGGGTTTGTCATTTGACTGTTTGTTGTTTAGACGGGCACCGCATTCAAATGCATACGGCCATATGTTGTTCCACCCAGTGTAGATTGCAGATGCATAGGCACATTCCGTTTGCCTTCCTCCTACAGACTGGTTTACAGAGAGGTTTGCAATTTGCTTGGTGTTTTTAGGTGCGTCCCCGCTTTTGAATACATACAACCCTGAGTTTTGTTTAGCCTGTCGATTACAGATGCGTGGGCATATTCCTTCTGCCTTGCTGCTACAGACCGGCGCGCGTTCCCGTGTGAGATTCAATTGCATGAATGCAAAGGTAGGCAACCAGCACAAGACATGGTTTCCAGGCATTGATTTTATTTTGTTGGCGTCAAAAAGTGAGGGAAGCCACCAGCTGGCTGCTGGTGCTGCATCTGAAACACATGGCTGAGGCATCAGACGGTCCGTTTGTAAGACGTGGCTTCGCAGGTTTTATTGATTCGGCTAAGGCTAGAAATTCAGAAGGCATTGTGTCTTCTTCACGGAGCAATTCAACAGTGCCAGTGCCGGCGCGCTAGTTTTCTGTTGCATGCTGTTGCTTTCCAAGTGTCTTTTCGGGGGTTTCCAGTTTTCTGTTTTTGGACAGGTCACCAGCTGAAAGTGCAGGTCATGAGGCTTAAGGCTAGTGCCACCACAAAACAAATCTTGCTGCGATCCTTTGAAGAGATTTCTTGCATTCGAAGCCTGTAGCCACCGTCGTCCCATACTCTTTGACTATCTTGCTCCTTCATGGCGTCCACGACGCGAACAGTGACTGTGGCAGCATCGACAGCGGCATCAGATGGAGTGCGTGCAGCTGGCGCAACTCCTGGGTCTTGGGCGCTTGTCTCCACACCTGCCAGCAGCCCAACCACATCTGAGACTTCAAGCGATGGCTCAAATGACCTGTCGTTTTGGTTCCAAAAGATGGGGGCGCCCTGTCCGGAAAAGTGGGCGCGCAAGTTTTATGATGCTGGCTATGGAGACGTGGAGGAAGTAGCAGCCTTGGCAGCTGCTGATTTGGATAATGTGTTCATTGAGCTCGGCGTCCCATCTGGCATTCAGACCAAACTTCGGACAGGCATTCCACAGTTCCGAGATGGAACCCTTGCTTCCATGCCGCAGGGTGATTTGGATGCAACAGCTCCTGTTCAGTCTGAAAGCTTCAAATGGTGGTTTTGGGGCCGCGTTGCTGTGTCTGCTGTTGTAGTTGCCGCCGTTGGTGGTATGGTGCTCGCCGCAGGTGTTGCTGGTGCTTTTGCCTTTGCTGGGATGTTCGCTCTTGGTGACTGCTTGGACGGTGAGACTTTGGTGACGATGGCAGACCGCTCCAAGAAAAAGATCAAAGATGTGAAGGTGGGCGACAAGATCTTGAGCTACAACAAAGGCAAGCTGCATGTGAAGACCGTGGTTAAGGTGAAGGAAGGCCAGAGCAACACCATGCGAGAGCTGTTCTTGCAAACTCCAGATGGCAAGGACTTCAGGATCAAGGCAACTGGGGGGCATCCTTTCTACACCAAAGAAAAGGAGTGGGCAGTGATCTCCCCAGACGCTCACTTCGATACATCCAAGCCGGTGAAGAAGCTCAGTGTAGGTGACACGCTGGTTCTTCGCAGCGGTGCTGGCGCCAAGCTTTTGAAGATTGGAGAAGTGTTGCCACGCCAGAAGACTTACAACCTTGCCATTGATGGTCCAGGCACCTTTTTCGTCGAGGGCATCTTGTCACACTCAGGGTTGCCGCCGCCGAAGAAGTGAAGGGCTGAGTCAGCCGAGCACAAGCTCAACTTCACATGCCGCTGTGGTACAGCAGTGTGTGAATGCAGGGACGGGCGTGAGCGGGCAGAGCAGTCTTTGGCTGCCGACCTGTGCATCTCTAAGATAGATGGCTGCAAGATTAGACCTGACTTCACACGTTTTACAGAGAGGTTTGCAATTTGCTTGGTGTTTTTAGGTGCGTCCCCGCTTTTGAATACATACAACCCTGAGTTTTGTTTAGCCTGTAGGTTACAGATGCGTGGGCATATTCCTTCTGCCTTGCTGCTACAGACCGGCGCGCGTTCCCGCGTGAGATTTCAATTGCATGAATGCGAAGGTAGGCAACCAGCACAAGACATGGTTTCCAGGCATTGATTTTATTTTGTTGGCGTCAAAAAGTGAGGGAAGCCACCAGCTGGCTGCTGGTGCTGCATCTGAAACACATGGCTGAGGCATCAGACGGTCCGTTTGTAAGACGTGGCTTCGCAGGTTTTATTGATTCGGCTAAGGCTAGAAATTCAGAAGGCCTTGTGTCTTCTTCACGGAGCAATTCAACAGTGCCAGCGCCGGCGCGCTAGTTTTCTGTTGCATGCTGTTGCTTTCCAAGTGTCTTTTCGGGGCGTTCCAGTTTTCTGTTTTTGGACAGGTCACCAGTTCTTGCTGCGATCCTTTCAAGAGATTTCTTGTACTCGAAACCCTTAGCCACCGTCGTCCCATAGTCCTTGGCTATCTTGCTCCTTCATGGCGTCCGCGACTCGAACAGTGACTGTGCCAGCAGCGGCAGCGGCATCAGATGGAGTGCGCGCAGTTGACGCAACTCCTGGGTCTTGGGCGCATGTCTCCACACCTGCCAGCAGCCCAACCACATCTGAGACTTCAAGCGACGGCTCAAGTGACCTGTCGTTTTGGTTCCAAAAGATGGGGGCGCCCCGTCCGGAAAAGTGGGCGCGCAAGTTTCATGATGCTGGCTATGGAGACATGGAGGAAGTAGCAGCCTTGGCAGCTGCTGATTTGGACAATGTGTTCACTGAGCTCGGCGTCCCATCTGGCATTCAGAACAAACTTCGGACTGGCATTCCACAGTTCCGAGATGGAACCCTTGCTTCCATGCCGCAGGGTGATTTGGATGCAACAGCTCCTGTTCAGTCTGCAAGCTTCAATTGGTGGTTTTGGGGCGGCATCGCAGTGGCTGCTGTTGTAGTTGCCGCTGGTGGTGCTATGGTGCTCGCCGCACTGCTGCAGCTGCGGCCGCAGCAGCAGCTGCAGCAGAAGAGGCAGCTGCCGCCAGCGCTGCCGCTGCAGCGGCGGGGACCGGTGTTGCTGGTGCTCTTGCTGTTGGTGCGATGTTGCTGCCTCTTGTAGACTGCTTGGACGGAGAGACTTTGGTGACGATGGCAGACCGCGCCAAGAAAAAGATCAAGGATGTGAAGGTGGGCGACAAGATCTTGAGCTACAACAAAGGCAAGCTGCGTGTGAAGACCGTGGTTGAGGTGAAGGAAGGCCAGAGCAACACCATGCGAGAGCTCTTCTTGCAAACTCCAGATGGCAAGGACTTCAGGATCAAGGCAACTGGGGGGCATCCTTTCTACACCAAAGAAAAGGACTGGGCAGTGATCTCCCCAGATGACGCTCACTTCGACGCGTCCAAGCCAGTGAAGAAGCTCAGAGTAGGTGACACGCTGGTTCTTCGCAGCGGTGCTGGCGCCAAGCTTTTGAAGATTGGAGAAGTGTTGCCACGCCAGAAGACTTACAACCTTGCCATTGATGGTCCAGGCACCTTTTTCGTCGAGGGCATCTTGTCACACTCAGGGTTGCCGCCGCCGAAGAAGTGAAGGGCTGAGTCAGCCGAGCACAAGCTCAACTTCACATGCTGCTGTGGTACAGCAGTGTGTGAATGCCGGGACGGGCGTGAGCGGGCAGAGCAGTCTTTGGCTGCCGACCTGTGCATCTCTAAGATAGATGGCTGCAAGATTAGACCTGACTTCACACGGTTTACAAAGAGGTTTGCAATTTGCTTGGTGTTTTTAGGTGCGTCCCCGCTATTGAATATATACGACCCTGAGTTTTGTTTAACCTGTGTAGATTACAGATGTGTAGGCACATTCCTTCTGCCTTGCTCCTACAGACTGGCGCGCGTTCCCGTGTGAGATTTCACTTGCATGATTTCAAAGGTAGGCAACCAGCACAAGACATGGTTTCCAGGCATTGATTTTATTTTGTTGGCGTCAAAAAGTGAGGGAAGCCACCAGCTTGCTGCTGGTGTTGCATCTGAAACACATGGCTGAGGCATCAGACGGTCCGTTTGTGAGACGTGGCTTCGCAGGTTTGATTGGTTCGGCTAATGCTAGAAATTCAGAAGGTCTTGTGTCTTTGCAATAATTTTTGCGGAGCAATTCAACATTGCCAGCGCGCTAGTTTTCTGTTGCATGCTGTTGCTTTCCAAGTGTCTTTTCGGGGGTTTCCAGTTTTCTGTTTTTGGACAGGTCACCAGCTGAAAGTGCAGGTCATGAGTCATGAGGCTTAAGGCTAGTGCCACCACAAAACAAATCTTGCTGCGATCCTTTCAAGAGATTTCTTGCACTCGAAACCCTTAGCCACCGTCGTCCCATAGTCTTTGGTGGCTATCTTGCTCCTGCATGGCGTCCACGACTCGAACAGTGACTGTGCCAGCAGCGGCAGCGGCATCAGATGGAGTGCCCGCAGCTGACGCAACTCCTGGGTCTTGGGCGCATGTCTCCACACCTGCCAGCAGCCCAACCACATCTGAGACTTCAAGCGACGGCTCAAGTGACCTGTCGTTTTGGTTCCAAAAGATGGGGGCGCCCCGTCCGGAAAAGTGGGCGCGCAAGTTTCATGATGCTGGCTATGGAGACATGGAGGAAGTAGCAGCCTTGGCAGCTGCTGATTTGGACAATGTGTTCACTGAGCTTGGCGTCCCATCTGGCATTCAGAACAAACTTCGGACTGGCATTCCACAGTTCCGAGATGGAACCCTTGCTTCCATGCCGCAGGGTGATTTGGATGCAACAGCTCCTGTTCAGTCTGCAAGCTTCAATTGGTGGTTTTGGGGCGGCATCGCAGTGGCTGCTGTTGTAGTTGCCGCTGGTGGTGCTATGGTGCTCGCCGCACAAGCAGCTGCAGCAGAAGCTGCAGCTGCGGCCGCAGCAGCAGCTGCAGCAGAAGAGGCAGCTGCCGCCAGCGCTGCCGCTGCAGCGGCGGGGACCGGTGTTGCTGGTGCTCTTGCTGTTGGTGCGATGTTGCTGCCTCTTGTAGACTGCTTGGACGGTGAGACTTTGGTGACGATGGCAGACCGCGCCAAGAAAAAGATCAAGGATGTGAAGGTGGGCGACAAGATCTTGAGCTACAACAAAGGCAAGCTGCGTGTGAAGACCGTGGTTGAGGTGAAGGAAGGCCAGAGCAACACCATGCGAGAGCTCTTCTTGCAAACTCCAGATGGCAAGGACTTCGGGATCAAGGCAACTGGGGGGCATCCTTTCTACACCAAAGAAAAGGACTGGGCAGTGATCTCCCCAGATGACGCTCACTTCGACGCGTCCAAGCCAGTGAAGAAGCTCAGTGTAGGTGACACGCTGGTTTTTCGCAGCGGTGCTGGCGCCAAGCCTTTGCAGATTGGAGAAGTGTTGCCACGCCAGAAGACTTACAACCTTGCCATTGATGGTCCAGGCACCTTTTTCGTCGAGGGCATCTTGTCACACTCAGGGTTGCCGCCGCCGAAGAAGTGAAGGGCTGAGTCAGCCGAGCACAAGCTCAACTTCACATGCTGCTGTGGTACAGCAGTGTGTGAATGCCGGGACGGGCGTGAGCGGGCAGAGCAGTCTTTGGCTGCCGACCTGTGCATCTCTAAGATAGATGGCTGCAAGATTAGACCTGACTTCACACGGTTTACAAAGAGGTTTGCAATTTGCTTGGTGTTTTTAGGTGCGTCCCCGCTATTGAATATATACGACCCTGAGTTTTGTTTAACCTGTGTAGATTACAGATGTGTAGGCACATTCCTTCTGCCTTGCTCCTACAGACTGGCGCGCGTTCCCGTGTGAGATTTCACTTGCATGATTTCAAAGGTAGGCAACCAGCACAAGACATGGTTTCCAGGCATTGATTTTATTTTGTTGGCGTCAAAAAGTGAGGGAAGCCACCAGCTTGCTGCTGGTGTTGCATCTGAAACACATGGCTGAGGCATCAGACGGTCCGTTTGTGAGACGTGGCTTCGCAGGTTTGATTGGTTCGGCTAATGCTAGAAATTCAGAAGGTCTTGTGTCTTTGCAATAATTTTTGCGGAGCAATTCAACATTGCCAGCGCGCTAGTTTTCTGTTGCATGCTGTTGCTTTCCAAGTGTCTTTTCGGGGGTTTCCAGTTTTCTGTTTTTGGACAGGTCACCAGTTGAAAGTGCAGGTCATGAGTCATGAGGCTTAAGGCTAGTGCCACCACAAAACAAATCTTGCTGCGATCCTTTCAAGAGATTTCTTGCACTCGAAACCCTTAGCCACCGTCGTCCCATAGTCTTTGGTGGCTATCTTGCTCCTGCATGGCGTCCACGACTCGAACAGTGACTGTGCCAGCAGCGGCAGCGGCATCAGATGGAGTGCGCGCAGCTGACGCAACTCCTGGGTCTTGGGCGCATGTCTCCACACCTGCCAGCAGCCCAACCACATCTGAGACTTCAAGCGACGGCTCAAGTGACCTGTCGTTTTGGTTCCAAAAGATGGGGGCGCCCCGTCCGGAAAAGTGGGCGCGCAAGTTTCATGATGCTGGCTATGGAGACGTGGAGGAAGTAGCAGCCTTGGCAGCTGCTGATTTGGATAATGTGTTCACTGAGCTTGGCGTCCCATCTGGCATTCAGAACAAACTTCGGACTGGCATTCCACAGTTCCGAGATGGAACCCTTGCTTCCATGCCGCAGGGTGATTTGGATGCAACAGCTCCTGTTCAGTCTGCAAGCTTCAATTGGTGGTTTTGGGGCGGCATCGCTGTGGCTGCTGTTGTAGTTGCCGCTGGTGGTGCTATGGTGCTCGCCGCACAAGCAGCTGCAGCAGAAGCGCAGCTGCGGCCGCAGCAGCAGCTGCAGCAGAAGAGGCAGCTGCCGCCAGCGCTGCCGCTGCAGCGGCGGGGACCGGTGTTGCTGGTGCTCTTGCTGTTGGTGCGATGTTGCTGCCTCTTGTAGACTGCTTGGACGGTGAGACTTTGGTGACAATGGCAGACCGCGCCAAGAAAAAGATCAAGGATGTGAAGGTGGGCGACAAGATCTTGAGCTACAACAAAGGCAAGCTGCGTGTGAAGACCGTGGTTGAGGTGAAGGAAGGCCAGAGCAACACCATGCGAGAGCTCTTCTTGCAAACTCCAGATGGCAAGGACTTCAGGATCAAGGCAACTGGGGGGCATCTACACCAAAGAAAAGGACTGGGCAGTGATCTCCCCAGATGACGCTCACTTCGATGCGTCCAAGCCAGTGAAGAAGCTCAGTGTAGGTGACACGCTGGTTTTTCGCAGCGGTGCTGGCGCCAAGCTTTTGAAGATTGGAGAAGTGTTGCCACGCCAGAAGACTTACAACCTTGCCATTGATGGGCCAGGCACCTTTTTCGTAGAGGGCATCTTGTCACACTCAGGGTTGCCGCCGCCGAAGAAGTGAAGGGCTGAGTCAGCCGAGCACAAGCTCAACTTCACATGCTGCTGTGGTACAGCAGTGTGTGAATGCCGGGACAGGCGTGAGCGGGCAGAGCAGTCTTTGGCTGCCGACCTGTGCATCTCCTAGTTCTTGAAGCTAAGATAGATGGCTGCAAGATTAGACCGGACTTAGTTCACATGTTTCAGAGACATGTTTGGCCATTTGCCTGCTCGTTCTGTAGATGTATCCCACGCTTCAAAACAAAGAATCATCTTTCGTATTTTTCCACCGGTTGTAGATTGCAGATGCATATTCCTTCTGCCTTGCTCCTACAGATTGGTGCACGTTCCCGTGCGAGGTTTCAATTGTATGATTTCAATGGTAGGCAGCCTACAGAAGACATGGTTGCAAAGGCATTGATTTTGGCGGCGTCAAAGAGAGGGAGCCGCCATTCTGTTGCAAACAAGATGCAACACATGGCTGAGACGGTCCATTGGCACCTGTTTGGTGCTCTCACTGAATTTGGCGAACGGCAAAATTCAGAAGGTCTCGCAGTTTTGAAGAAATCAAGTGTTTTTGCCTGCTAGTTTGCGGTTGCATTCCAAGATATTCCAAGTTCTTTTTTCCGGGGTTCCAGTATTCTGTCTTTGGACAAGCTGCTGCCCAGTTGAACATGCAGCTCATAGAGATAGGACACAGCAAGCGACACCACGAAACACTTTTTGTTGCTTGCCCAGAGGTTCTTGCACTCGAAACCCTTAGCCACCATCGTCCCATAGTCTTTGGCTATCTTGCTCCTTCATGTCGTCCACGACTCTGTCGTTTTGGTTCCAAAAGATGGGGGCGCCCCGTCCGGAAGAGTGGGCGCGCAAGTTTCATGATGCTGGCTATGGAGACATGGAGGAAGTAGCAGCCTTGGCAGCTGCTGATTTGGACAATGTGTTCATTGAGCTTGGCGTCCCATCTGGCATTCAGAACAAACTTCGGACTGGCATTCCACAGTTCCGAGATGGAACCCTTGCTTCCATGCCGCAGGGTGATTTGGATGCAACAGTTCCTGTTCAGTCTGCAAGTTTCAATTGGTGGTTTTGGGGCGGCATCGCTGTGGCTGCTGTTGTAGTTGCCGCTGGTGGTGCTATGTTGCTCGCCGCACAAGCAGCTGCAGCAGAAGTTGCAGCTGCAGCAGAAGAGGCAGCTGCGGCCGCAGCAGCAGCTGCAGCAGCAGCTGCAACACCTCCAACACAAGAGGCAGCTGTAGTGGCGGGGGCCGGTGTTGCTGGTGGCTCTCTGGTGTTAGCTTCATGTTGCTGCCTCTTGTAGTAGACTGCTTGGACGGTGAGACTTCGGTGACGATGGCAGACCGCGCCAAGAAAAAGATCAAAGATGTGAAGGTGGGCGACAAGATCTTGAGCTACAACAAAGGCAAGCTGCGTGTGAAGACCGTGGTTGAGGTGAAGGAAGGCCAGAGCAACACCATGCGAGAGCTCTTCTTGCAAACTCCAGATGGCAAGGACTTCAGGATCAAGGCAACTGGGGGGCATCTACACCAAAGAAAAGGACTGGGCAGTGATCTCCCCAGATGACGCTCACTTCGATGCGTCCAAGCCAGTGAAGAAGCTCAGTGTAGGTGACACGCTGGCTTTTCGCAGCGGTGCTGGCGCCAAGCTTTTGAAGATTGGAGAAGTGTTGCCACGCCAGAAGACTTACAACCTTGCCATTCATGGGCCAGGCACCTTTTTCGTAGAGGGCATCTTGTCACACTCAGGGCTGCCGCCGCCGAAGAAGTGAAGGGCTGAGTCAGCCGAGCACAAGCTCAACTTCACATGCCGCTGTGGCGCAGCAGTGTGTGAATGCCGGGACGGGAGTGAGCGGGCAGAGCAGTCTTTGGCTGCCGATCTGTGCATTTCTAAGATAGATGGCTGCAAGATTAGACCTGACTTAGTTCACCCGTTTCACACAAAGGTTTTGTCATTTGACTGTTGTTGTTTAGACACGCACCGCATTCAAATGTATTTATAGGTAGTACCAGTATATGTACATAGTATTTATTCTCCATACTTACTGTTGCAATGGCTCAAGAAAAAGCTGATGCGTGTTGGCTGATTAGCTTGTAAATACAGGTTATCAGCCGTATAGCCTAGTTTTCCCCTTAGGTAGTGTTCTCTCACGTTTGCTTCCATCGTGAGTTGTAGGGTTTCTCCTTGCCGTGTAGATAGAGCCATGGCCAATCCCTTGCTACCTATTGCTAACTCCCCGGAAACCATTGACATAAGTACCCCTCCAAGCTCCGAAAGATCAAGGAGCCAGCGAGCAGGTGGGACACCTCTTACTGAAGCTGTCGCAATGATGCCACAGAACTCAGGTTTTTCTCATCGAGGTGTGTTGCCAGCCGCTACCCGGGAGGGTGGGCCGAACGTTCATGGTACTGGAAGTTCTGGAAATCGAGTGTTCAATCAAATGAATGTAAACCACGATCAACGTGTGATTATTGATCAGCAACACTTCATACAGAACAACAAGGTACTTATTCAGACTCATGACCCAGCATACACGGAAATGCTTGAGCAGACAGCCGAAGCGCGTCATCGCATGGCAATAGCCGAAGCGGAAGCTCAAGCCAATCACCGTCATGAAGCATTGACTGGAAGTCTGAAGGAAGCATTACAAATTCGTGAAGCCCAAGAGATCAATCAGGCAAGGATGTTTCTGCGGGAGAATGAGGAGAAGAACATCAAAAGTGAGGCCGTTCAGCATGTCCGCGCCCATGAGGCTCAGTGTACAGAAAAGGTTCAGGCGTACCAGAGAATTTTGGACGCCAATCTCCGTCAGTCAATGGCCACAAAGGAGAGCGAGATTGAACGCCTCCGGAACTTGGCCGCTGAAAAGGAGCGAGCACAGGAAGAACGCATCAAAAGGCTCGAAGAGCTTGTGATGCAACAGAGTCTTCACAACCAAAAGCTCCAAAGTATGTTGGACTCCCAGCTGTCGCAGCCACCTCCAGTCCAAGTTGTGGAAACCGCGACTTTGGCGAGGATGGCAGAACTGTTTGTTATCTCTGCTCCGATCCCGGCGTGTACAGTTGATCCTCCGACTGCATCCGAGCATCCGTTCCATGATCCGCTCAACGTTGACATTGCTCCCCCACCATATGTTCCTCCGCCAATGCTTGCCGGTCCATATGCCAGCAACACAGATGGAGAGACTGAGGACATGGTCACTGGCCGAATCCCGGTGGGTGGTATCAACATAACGTACTGTAAACGGGCGGAGAGTGGATCTATCCCAGGCCCTTCACATGGCGTACCCCTGAACAATGCCTCGGGAGATCATACCCCAATGTCTGGTCGTACTGTGCCATATGGGGGTTCTGGTCGAAAGCCTAGTAAAGGTCCCAATGATGGCAATAACCAAGGGGGTAACGGAAATGGAGGTCCTGGGGGAGGGGATGACGGAGATGATGGAGGTGATCATGATGGTTCACCCGTCCCGTCGCCATCACCGGCACCCGAAGTCAATAAGAAGAAGGACAAGAAGAAGGCGCCAGGCGGTGGCGGGGGAGGAGGAGATGACGACCCGGACAAGGACTCTGATGACAGTGATGAGAAGTTTGTTCGGCGTATGAAGAAGTTTTTGGGGGGTGGTTTCAACCAAAGTGGCAATGACGAAAAGCCCAAAGTCAAGGAAGCAGATACCATTAAGCTTCCGGCCATCCCAGGTCCAGAGACATATAGAAACTGGCGTATCAAGACCAGAGAGGCCATTGTTGCGGCTTCCACCAACCCCGATTCGGCATTTGCCTGGATTGGTGAAGTTTGGAAGGAAGGTCAGACAATTGAAACCCTCCGGAAGGTGGCGCCGTTTGCAACACTAGATGCCAAACTCCTGTCCGCTCTGACTAACATCATAACGAGAGATTTTGCCCGAAAGGTTGACACTTTCAAGGAGACTGAAGCCAATGAGGGAAGAATTGTGAGGGGTCGTCAAGTTCTGTTCATGTTGCATGATCACTTCAGCACGAACATGAAGCATGGCTCCACATACGCCCTCCAAGACCTATTTAGTGTCCACCTGAAAGGGGAGAACCTGAAGACGTTCATTTCAAATTGGGATCAAGTACTTGCAGGTATTGTGAAGGTTCCTGAAGAGTCAGTACTGGAAACACTGTTCTATAATCAGGTCAAGAACTGTAAGGCTATAGCCCATGATTTGAACGAGTATCATCGAGCCGATGAAGGCACTGAGAAGAGGAAATATGACTTCCTTGTTTCCGCTGTGCGCAGGCACTTGGACCGTGAACGTCTGGAGACCAACCGAGAGAGGGTTGCTCGGAATCTCTCAGGCACTGCCAAACCTTCCGCACCCGCTGTCGAAGGAAAGGTAGGTTTCATTCCAAGGGGTTATTGTGTAAAGTGGAACAAGGGAGGATGCACGAATGAGAATTGCACGTTCAAACATGAGGTTCCATCCAAGAGAACTCCATCCACCAAACCCAAAAGGGATTCAAGTAGGGGACGATCACCATCAAGAACTCAGTCACCCAAAGGTAAGGGAAAGAAGAAGGAGTGCATTTTCTGGAAAAGGGGAAGATGTGAGCGGGGCGACAAGTGCAATTTTTCGCACAATGGCCCTGCTGGGAAGCCAAGACAAGCTACTCCTGCAAGATCCAATTCTTCCCGGTAGGAAAACTTCTAGGAGTCCCGGCAGGAAGTCATCAAGAAGCCCTGGCAAGCCTAAGAGCCCCAGAAATTCCAGATCGCCCAAAGGGAACAAGAACAGTTCCAGCAGTGGTAAGGCAACTCCAGCAGCAGTTTGTTTGGTAGCATCAATGCTTGCATCCGTGGCCAGTGGATTCGCAATCGATACCACAAAGGTATGCTGTCCCAGCATTGGCATCCGCTTCTCCGAAGAAGTTGATGCGCATCGGATAGCAGCCCGTGGGAACATGTGGCCAATCATTAATGGCGAACCTAAGGACAGAACCACATATCCATAGGGGTCATAAGTTTGACGTTGATCAACAAGCTGTTAGCGATTGTGCATTGTCTGCCACCATGCTGTCAGGGGCTGTTGAAAACTCCTTGAAGGGTATCACTACCAAATGTAACTATGAATGTGACACTGAATTTGGTTGTGATTATTGCATTCCCAAGGGCATCGTCGCCGCCCCTGCCGAATCAAGGGAAAAGATTGAGGGGTCTATTGATTTGCAGATCGATTGGATTGCTGACACAGGCAGTGCCCAGGATCTTGTTTCTCAAGGGGAGTTGCCTGATGATTATGGGTATTACTCATCCAATCCGATTCGTATGATGACTGCTAATGGTGAAAGTTCATCTATGACACAAGGAAAAGTTTTCGTTCCGAGACTGTGTAAGACGGTGGACCCATACCTAGTCAAGAGTACCCCAGCCGTGCTATCGGTCGGCATGAGGTGTATTGACGATGGTTATGATTTCATTTGGAAGGGTTCGAAGGGTGAGGATCCATATTTTATCGGTGGTACCGCACAAGGCGGTGGCGGAAGTTTCAAAAATAGGAAACCTATAGGGGAGGTTGGTTGTTGTGAATCAGGGATGGCAAAGCGAATCCACTGATGGACCGAAAGGTGCTTGAGGTCTCCTCTCTGTCTCTCCCTTTCTCTGACTATCTACCTACCTATCTATCTTCTATGTATCTATCTATCTATCTATCTAGCTATCTATCTCTCTCTTTCTCTCTTTCATCTAATTACCTATCTACCTATCTACCTATCTACCTATCTACCTATCTACCTATCTACCTATCTACCTATCTACCTATCTACCTATCTACCTATCTA